CCCGGACTCTTCTCCGGCCCGTCTTCCTCCTCGTTCCCCCCTTGTGTCCCCTCCGCTGTCTCCTGACCCTACACCTCCGTCCCACGTTTGGTCTCGCCGTCCCTTCCGTGCTCGTCCCGTCTCCCCTGTCCCGCGCTCCCATCCTATGTTACTCCGTTGTCACTCGTCTCGTCCTCCCCTCGCCTCCTCCCTCGTCGCTCGTTGTTGCACCTCCCCCGCTGTCAGACTACCTCCGTGCCGCTTGTCCCCTTGTCCCTCGAGTCCTTGCCTCTCTTGTTACAGACCCGTCTGTTCCTGTCTCCTGCCTTGACGTGCTTGTTGCTGCTATCGCTGACTTCGCCTCTAACAGCCGCCTTGACTACGCTACCACTCTGGTCTCTGACCCTGCCCATCCTGCGTCCGTCGGGGGTGCACCTGCCCTTGGCAGTGACGTACTAGAGGATAGGCAGTATGAGCTTGCTTTCCTTTCCGAGGCCGCTCCCCATCTCTGCTCCATGCTCCTAGTCCCCGAGGGTGACCCAGACGCCTTCGACATCCCGACCTCTCGCACCTACGCTGAGGCCACCTCGAGACCCTGGGCCTCTCAGTGGATAGCTGCCATGGAGCAGGAGATGGCATCTTGAAGGTCCACCGGCACTTACGTCGACGCAGTTCCCCCGCCTGGGGTGAACGTAGTCGATGGTCGGTGGCTCTTCAAGGTGAAGCGCCCCCCTGGAGAGCCGCCTGTCTTCAAGGCGCGCTACCTGGCTAGAGGCTTTAGCCAACGCGAGGGGGTTGACTTCTTCCAGACCTTCGCCCCAACTCCAAAGATGACCACTCTTCGGGCGCTGCTACACGTAGCAGCACAGCGCGACTACGAGCTTCACTCCCGCGACTTCTCTACTGCCTTTCTTCAGGGCAGCCTACACGAGCAGGTCTACCTGCGTCGACCATAGGGCTTCACTGGTACCTTCCCCCCTGTGACCCAGTGGCTTCTCAGGCGCCCGGTCTACGGCCTGCGTCAGGCTCACCGTGAGTGGCACGACACGCTGCGTGCCACGTTAGCAGACCTGCAGTTCTTTCCGTCCTCTGCTGACCCCTCGCTATTTGTGCGTTTCGTCTTGACTCCATTCTACATCCTTGTCTATGTAGACGACCTGGTCTTCGCTACTGCTGACAGGGACGCACTAGCCTCTGTGAAGGCAGAGCTGCTGAAGAGACACACCTGCACTGACCTTGGAGAGCTGCGTCGCTATCTTGGCCTGCAGATCTCTAGGGACAGAGCAGCACGCACCATCACTCTGACACAGTCACACCTGGTGCGTCAGGTCCTTAAGAGGTTCGGTCTTCAGTTCTCCTCCGCACAGCCCACACCTCTACCTGTAGACCATGGGCTCTCCGCTCCCGTTCCTGAGGAGCCAGTAGAGCTCAGTGGTCCCTACGCAGAGCTGGTGGGTTGCCTCATGTACCTGATGACTTGCACTCGCCCAGATCTCGCATACCCTCTGAGCATCCTGGCTCGCTTTGTGGCCACTAGCAGACACCGGCCACAGCACTGGTCGGCCGCTAAGAGGGTTTTGCGATATCTAGCAAGTACATCGGGCATGGGGTTAGTGCTAGGAGGACGCAGACCAATGGTCCTCACAGGGCACACAGACGCTTCTTGGGCAGACGATTCTGAGACTCTCAGGTCATCTCAGGGCTACTGTTTTAGCCTTGGTTCGGGTGCTATCTCTTGGAGATCCACTCGCTCGTCGTCTGTTGCTCAGTCCAGTTGTGAGGCTGAGATCTACGCTGGTGCCATGGCGGCACAGGAGCTCCGCTGGCTGACCTTCTTGCTCACTAGCTTAGGTGAGCGGTCTAGCTCTGCCCCGGTCCTGTACGCTGACAACAGGGCCATGATTCTCCTGTGTCAGGAGCCTCGGCTTGAGGGCAGAGCGAAGCATATCCAGCTGCGGTACTTCCTCCTGCACGAGCTATTGCAGCGTCGCCAGGCCCGTGTAGTTCACTTGGCCTCCGGTGCCAACACAGCTGATATCTTTAGTAAGGCGCTTGCGCCTAAAGATCATCAGCGGCACTGTGTACAGCTTGTTCTTGTTCCTGCAGCTTCTCATTTGCTAGGGCCATGATTGTGTACTCTCTACTATATATACCTGTCTGACTGGCCTTGTGGCCTTACCTCCAGTGGTTGGACTAGTAGTGTCGCCCTGGCTTGCTTTTGTGTTGTTTGTACTCTTGCTGACTGGTCTCCGGACCTCTGCCTCAGTGGTTGGAATAGTAGTGCCACCCTGAGCTGCATGCTTATTACTTAGCACCACCCCTTATCTAGCCTAGGGGGTGTGTCAACTTATACATATTATCTATGTAGAAGTTATAGGCTAGACTAGGTGTGTGATTCTAGTGAGTATAACCAACTGGTATTTGTTATGTGTTTCTCTTACTAGTCAGTTATTTCGTTCTTACGTTAACAGTTATGTGTCACCATTCGAACAATTCGGAAGGGCCCACAGAATCTAGGGCGGAGTTTATGTGATAGTCACGTTGTTCATCAGTGTTGACTGAGGGTCATGTGGTTTCCACTTCGGCAGTCGACGCCACTCGCCACCCCACTTCAAACGAATGTCGTCATTCCTCCAATCGATGCTCGGATTGGACGTGCGAAGCCAATCGCGCCCTAGGAGCACATCGCAACTGTCTAATGTTGTCGCCATCATATTTATGGTGAAAATGATTTGGCTGTCACAATCAATGTGAAGGTATTTCACCTGCTCCCGAATTGCAAGTGGCGTTCTGTCAACCAGCCACGCATCAATTTCGGGCATGCACCGCTCCATTTGCAACTGCTGCTTCTTCGCTCTTGTCACATCAAACAGACTGTCTGAGGCTCCACCATCCACGAATATTTTCCACCAGCACAGGGCACTTAAGAGGTTCACTCCCCTTTAGCCAGGTGTGGTCGATATCATAGATCAGCACGACTACTCGGTGGGATTGGTGATCTTCGAGAAACAAAGCCTCATCAGTAGGGGGCCTGTCTCCTACTGATGCTATCCATTTCCCGGCTTCCTTCTGTCGTTAGCTCTCGATTTTTGCAACTCCGCATAGTCCCGCATGATGTGCCCCAATTGGCCGCATTTATAACAACTGCCAAAAAATATGTTATCTAACCTTGCCGCCACGCCGTTGATGGATGGGTCCGTGTTCTGCCCTCGAAAGTGACTTCCCTCCCATAAATTCATCCTCGACCATACTATGTTCTCGTCCCACGCCTCTGCGACATGTTGCACCTCCAAGAGCGTCGCCAGGCGGCGCATGCGAATTTCGCGCTGGACCTCTAGTTTGAGCCCTAGGTTGTATCGACTCGTTTTCTCTGTCTCGTATAGGTCGTCGATCTCGTCGCAGATGGCGAGAAAGAATAACATGTGTTCTAGAACAAAGCCCATTTGACGCCACCCGTGCAGCTTCACACGAGCGTTTTCGCATGCGGACACATGCTCAAAGCTCTTATGAAGCACTGCACCCCACTGTTGCCACTTAAGGATTTCGGCCACACAAAATAAGGATCCTGTAAAAGTTGAAGCCAATCGTTGCCCCCTGTCCATCGCTTGTTGTCAGTCTGCCAGAGTCCCTCGTGATTTCACATACTGTCGCCACCAACTTAATGCAGGCCCATGTAATAAAGACCCCGCCAACTTGACGCGTGTCTCATCGTCATTGACATCGGAGGCATTGAAGATCAGCTCCATGGCGAATAGCCACCCACTCAGCATGGTGTTCTTCTCCAATGCATTGAATCAGGGGGGGGGGGGGGCGTTGTAGGTTTTATCTTCACGACTGCCCGTCGCTCGCTCGTACTGTCGTCAAGTATCGCTAACGTCGCCTGCGGTTGATGTGGGCGATTCTAACGGTTGCAGTAATCCAACTGGCTTTTGGTGAGAGGATTTCATCAGTTGGCAAGTGGGGCATGAGGCCACATATTGCTGTACGTCGTGACTCGCATTCGGTCAGTAATAATAACGTTGGAGCATTTTCAAGGGTTTGTCAACACGAAATGTCCTGAGCAATAAGCGTCGTGAACCTCATGTATCAGTACTTCCAGTCAAAGTCGGTAGGATGGAACCCAAATTCGGTTAGTACTAGCTTTTAGGTGGTAGTGGCCTCTTGAGTGGTGAAAAGGGGGTCAGTATTGTAGCCATGGGTAAATATCCCAATTAGCAGTGGATTAGCTTGCGCAATTAGTACGACAGCTGTATGAGTAGTACGGCGGGAAAGGGCATCAGCAATATTTATTGCCCCCTTTATGTTGGTGATGCGGTAGTTGAAGTTGGGCTCGAGGTATTCGAGGCAACAAATCAGTCGTAGATTGAGCTTGGTTCAGCTCGGATAAAGTATACGAACTTGTGGTCTGTTTGGACAGTAACGTTGGCACCTGATAGGAAATAGCGCCATGTCTTGGAAGCGTTGACGATTGCAAGCATTTCCTATTCGTGAACTCGGTAATTCTGTTCAGGGCCTTAGATTTTTCGCGAGTCGTAAGCCATTGGCTGCAGACCTTTGATAAAATCCTGTAACGTTACCACCCCAACGGTGTTAATGCTGACGTCCATAACCAGTTTGTACGGGCGGTCAGGGTCGGCGATACAAAGAACGGGTGGTGTCATGAGGAAAGTTTTCAATTGGTCAAACGCAGGTTGATGCCTTTCCCCCCACTCATTAAAAAGTTCCCTTCTACTGGAAGACGGTTAGCGGGGCAGTAGACTCCAGCACTTTAGGGATAAAACGGCGCACGTAGTTGACGAATCCCATAAAACTCTGCAACTCCTTGACGTTGGTCGGCGGCTCCCAATTGCGAATTGTAGCGATTCTTTTCGGGTCCATTTTGACACCGTCGGTGGAGATGACGTGGCCCAGGAAATCGTGCTCCTCCTTTAAGAACTCGCATTTAGAGCCTTTGGTGATGAGTCGGTCTTCATCACAGAGGGTAAAAACCGCCTCCGGGTCCTTCAAATGTTGTTCCCGAGTGGTGCTATACACCAGAATGTCATCCAGGTAGACGATGACGCACTTGTCCGGTAGCGAGCGTAAGACTTCGTTCATGGTCAGTTGAAAAGTTGAGGGTACGTTCGTCAACCCAAACGGCATCACTGTATTCTCGTAACTTTCGTAATGATGCGAAAGGCAGTTTTTGGAATATCAGCTTCAGCGAAACGAAACTGGTGGTAACCGCCTCGTAGATAAATCTGAGAAAAATCCTGGCCCCGTGAAGTTGGTCGATGAGATCGTCGGCTCGTGGAATTAGGTAACGTGACTTGATGGCGATGTTGTTGAGCGCGCGATAGTCGGTACACATCCGAAGCCCTTCATCCTTTTTAGGGGTGAAGAGAATCGGCGCGGCGTATAGTAACGTGGATGGGCGGATGAATTTTTTCTCCAGCAGATAATCCAGTTCCGTACGTAGCTCCATCAGCTCCGGTTGACTAAGACTCCGGACGGTCGGTTGCGCTCCGGGTTCCAACTCAATCTTGTGATCGTACAGTCGTTTCAGGGGTAGACCGGGCGGGAGATCGTTCGGAAATATCTTCTCGAATATTCGCCAGGTCCTCAGGGACAGCAGCACACAGCTTCTCCATGTCGGTCTGTTCAGCCACCTCCGTTGATGCGATCTATCGGATGGCGTGGACGTCCATGCCACGTGCCTTCACGCGCTTGATAGTCACGTTGTTCATCAGTGTTGACTGAGGGTCGTGTGGTTTCCACTCTGGGAGTTGTCGCCACTCGCCGCCCCACTTCAAACGAATGTCGTCATTCCTCCAATCGATGCTCGGATTGTACGTGGGAAGCCAATCGTGCACCACGAGCATATCGCAGCCGCCCAATGTTGTCGCCAGCATGTTCTTGGCGAAATTCACCGGGCTGTCGCAACCAATGGGAACCTGTTTCATCCGCTCCCGAATTGCAAGTGGCGTGCCGTCAACCAACCGCGCGTCAATTTCGAGCATGCACCCCTCCATTTGTAGCTGCAGCTTCTTGTCACATCAAACAGACTGTGTGATGCTCCACCATCTATGAATATTTTTCATCTTCTGTTGCCAAAGCGCCCTTCCATCAGCACTGGGCATTTAACAGGTTCACTCCCATTTAACCGGGTGTGGTCGATCTCATAGATCGGCACGACTACTCGGTGGGAATGGTGATCTTCAGGCGACGAAGCCTCATCAGTAGGGTGCCCGACTGCTACTGATGATGTCACCTTCCCGGCTTCCTTCCGTCGCAAGCTCTCGATTTCTGCAACTCCGCACAGTCCTGCATGATCCCGGCTGACCACATTTATAGCAACTGCCACAAAATCTATTATCTGACGGTGCTGACACGCCATTGATGGATGGGTAAATATTATGCCATCGAAAACGACATCCGTCCCGAAAATACGCCCTTGGCCAGACACTGTTCTCGTCCCACGCTTTTTCGACCTGCTGCACCTCCAAGAATGTCGCCGGGCGGCGCATGCATATTTCGCGTTGGACCTCCGGTTTCAACCGTAGGATCCATCGACTTGTTTTCTTCGTCTCTTATTGGTCGTCGATTTCGTCATAGATGGCGAGGAAGCATGGCGTGTATTCTAGAACAGAGCCCAATTGACGCTACCCGTGTAGCTTCACACGAGCGTTTTTGCATGCGGATACATACTCGAAGCGCTTGCGAAGCAGTGCACTCCACTGTTGCCTGGTAAGGATCTCGGTCACACCAAATAAGGATCCTGTTGAAGTTGAAGCCAATCGGTGCTCCTCGTCCATCGCTTGTTGCCGGTCTACCAGAGTCCTTCGTGACGTCACATACTATCGCCGCCAACTTAATGCAGGCCCGCGTAATAAAGACACCGCCAACTTGACCCTTGTCTCATCGTCATTGACATCGGCGGCATTGAAGAAGAGTTCCATGGCCGCGTGTAGGCTTGGTGGTCTTAAACGTAGTTCGAGCCTGAAATGTCGGGCCGAGCCAGGACTTCTGAAAGTCAGGGATGTACTCTATGTTAGCGAGACTAGGTAAGGAAAGGGTTTTTTATTACATTGAGGACAAGATTAATCTACACTTCCGTAACTTTTGAGTTCAGTCAACAGAAATATGTTGACCGACCAATTGTCGGTTTGCTCTCAACAAGTAGCCGAAACCCAACCTTGTTTCACGCTCCAGCCGACTTAGCTCGTTTTGTCGCCTTCGTCTGTGCCGTAGTACACTTCTGCTTCGATTATGTCGAGACGTCAACTGCGTTATAAAAAATTTATGAAGTCCCCATGTCGTCATTGGTGTTGTCCGTGTACTGCAACTGTATCGCTACCTGCGTTTTGACGAAGAAAATCAACGATTTAGGAGCTGGAATGACACCAATTGATCGATACGGCGTGATTTTGAGCATGTAAACATCTAGTCAGCAACCTGTCGACTAAATCTGGTATTGCAATTATTATCGCAAATTTGGTGTCGCGGGCCGTATTGGTCGGTTGAGATGTTTGTCCCCCACCACGCACAACCTCCCAGGCGACAAGATTTCCTCGGTAGTTTCGTGCTCGTATCGCGCCGCGTGCAAGAATGTTCTCGTTGACACCTTCGCCGTGCGTTGTGTCAGCCGAAACGCGTTCTGCTGTCCAATCCCCTTGAGGAGTCGAAACTCGAATCTCGCCATTAGGCTTGGAGATTGCCACAAACCTCGACACCAAGCCCAATGCCTTGGTTGCCCAGAGCACGAACTAGACGCCGCTGTTCACCAAACCGAAACGGAACCTCCGTTTGAACGTCCCAGACCAGACCAGGCAAGAGCATCGTCGCTGTTCACACGTCGCGCTCCGTCACGAACCAGCGTGTTCAAGCCATCAAGCAGCCACGGGGCGGCGACACGAAATGACAACAACCGTACTGCCAGCCAGCCAGCTACATATCTGTGCGTGACTGCGCAGGCTCGGCTGCTCGTGCTGGTCGTCCTGCACACTGCCCTGGTTAGGTACGGGCTGCTTCTTGTTCGCCCTAGCGCGACTCGACTCCCTCTCGTTTTACCTCCCTTACCAACCACCGTACCCCGTCTGCTGCTCGTTCCATGCCTGTTCTCTCCGCCGCTAACCAACATCACTCATGGTCACATGACACACCACACCAACCAACCCCCCTTAATGCGCTACACTACACACACCACACACCAACCCCGTTACAGTATTCTGCCTGCTGTTCCTTACTTCTCGTTTTTCTTCCCAACCGCCGCCACCGCAAATGTGCAATTGACAACCAACAAACCCGGCGCGTCATGTTCTATCAGCCGAGCCGCAGAACCGCCCACCCAACTATTCGGTGCCCCCATTGATTTGCTTTACACAACTCCAACTTCAGTATAGCTTACACAATTGGAAAAGTCGAACCCAGCATGAACTCGGCACGGTATGTTTGACAGACAACCGTGGCGATCTGATTTTGTGTTACATTGGAACGATTTTCCAGTGAAGCGATTAATATCCGCATCTCCTTAGTTCATTCACCACCAAGAGCCCACGTATCCAACGCAACGCTACCGAATAAGCCCCCTGCATCAACCCATCGCCACCTCACAATGGCACGGCCATCACATTCCCCATCCTCCGCACGGCATTTCGCATCCTTCTCCACCCTCGTCCTCCTCTTGGCCCTCCTCTTGCAACCCGCGCTTCCCGTGACTCACGCTCAGCCATTCTCGTTCGGTTACGACGCGCGGTCGCCAGGGCTTATGGGCGATCCCAGTGCTTCCGACTTTCAGCTCAGCCCGAGCGCTACAGCTTTCGTCGCAAACGGCTCGTCGGAGTCGACAGTGGTAACCATGGCAACGCCGTCGCCGTCGCAGCCGTCGTCGTCTTCGTCGAACCAGTCGCGGTTGTCGTCGCAGTCGTTTTCGCGAGTCGTGGACGGCATCAATTACCCTCGCATGCAGAAGAGAATCCGTTATCCGACTTGCACTAAGATGGAAAGCGGTAAGTGACAGGTGGTGTCTTTATTCCTCCGACCGCTCTCTCCTCCCTCGCTCTTCCCCTTGCCCCCTCCGTTCGTCTCGTTCTAATACGTCCACTCTGTTCCCACCTGTCTTGGCCTTTTTTTTCCCCCCTCCCCCTGCCCCTTCCCGTGCCTCGTTGATATGCGAACCAGACAATGTGACGTTGGAGATCGGGCTGAAGGCCGTGGGAACGAAGTGGCGCGGTTGGGGAACTTCCCTTGCCTGGTTAGTAGCGGGCGGGGGCTAATGGGAGGTGGGTTAGCACGACAGGGGGAAAATAGGCAAGGAAGACGGCGGAAGGAGAGGGGGGGGGGGGGAGGGGGGGAGAGGGGGAGAGGGAGTGAGGGTTGAATGAGGGTGAAGAGATGGTGCCCTGTAACTACTGGCTTTATCTTCTTTTCTCCTTTCCCCGTTAGCCGTTTGAGTCGTGAGTGCTAAACCTCCAGCTCTACTCGCCCTCCCGCTCCCTGTCTCCCATCCCTAGCCCCTCTTACCTCCTTTTTTCCGCTAACCCCTCCACTTCACAAACCCCTCCGCGCCTTCCTCCCCTTCCTCAAAACAAGCTCATCTTTTCTTCTTCACCTCTTCAACTGCTCCCTCTCAGGGCTGGGCGCTTCCTCGGCGGTTTGGCACAGCCCTTTAGGCGCAAGGTTATGCTGGACTTAATATTCGACAAGAAGAAAGGCATCGGCTTTAATCTCGTCCGCTACGCCATACCCGGAGGGTACGCGCCTCGGCACAGCCCTAAGATCTGGCGACAGGACAAGTACCAGGGGTACAGCCCAAGGAAGGGGGTTTGGAACTGGGCCGGGGATTGGAGGCAAGTATTGGCGCTTAAGGAGGCTCGAATGCGCGGGAAAATCGAGGTGGACGCGATCAGTTACTCGCCGCCCTGGTGGATGACGCTAAGTAAAGACGCGGCGGGAAACGTGCGGGGCAAGCCGAATCTCATGGCGCGGCACTACCCCACCTACGCAGACTACCTCTCGACGGTCGCGGCGCATTTTCAGCGGAGGTGGGGGATCCAGTTCGCGGGGATCGCGCCGTTTAACGAGGCGCTCGAGGGGTGGTGGAAGAAGGGAGGGTACCACGAAGGGTGCACGTACACCGGCCTCGGAATGCGCAAGCTTGTGTTTATGCTCCGGAAAGGGATGCAGCGGCAAAAGCTTTCGAAAACGCGCATCGTTGGAGTGGACAGTTGGCCCGGGTACACTGTAAACGCGCTGCGGAAGTCGGTCTGGCCGCTGGGGCACGCGCCGGATGTCATCTCGGTGCACGGTTACCGATCCCTGCGTACGATGTCGATTTCGGGGGACGAGAGCGAGTACAAGGCGATTCGGGACGAGGCGCGCAAGCACAACAACACCCCGATATGGCAGACGGAGTGGGGTCCGTTGCAGATCGGTGGAACCCCGCTGGAAATCGGGTTATATATGGCACGTGCGATCGCGCAGCATATGAACATTTTGGGTGTAGAGGCGTGGTACCACTGGCTGCCTGTACAGAGTGTGAATAAAGCGAACTGGGGACCCATTCAGGTGAGGTGGAAGCTGTTCGGCCCGATTCGCCCGAAGCTGACGAAGCAGTTTTTCGGCATGCTACACTTCACCCGATGGATCCACAAGGGCAGTTACCCGCTCCACATTCGCAACGAGTGCAAGCATTCGGTTGTCGCAGCGTATTCGCCTAAGGCTCGTCGGCTGTCAGTTACCATCGTGAACCAGCAATCTCGGGAATTTCGCGTGAATCTCAAGATCAGTGGGTTCGACCGCTGGAACCGTAAGAAGTCGACATTACGGCAAGTGAGGCGCACATCTGCCAAGGAGAATTACAGGCGGACAGCTAAGGACTACAGCTGGGATGCGATCACGTCGTACAGCGTGGTGATTCAGGGCAACTCCGTCACCACGGTCGGGTGGACCAACGTCGCCATGCTTGGTGACCCTCAGTTCGTTATGGACTAGTGCAGATTAGTAAGACAGCCAGGGAGAAGAGGCGCCGTGTCGGGCGGCTGAGATGGCTTTGTGGGCTGAGAACATTGACAAGTGGATGGGGGAATGGTCGTGCGAGGTTGCAAGACTCAGGGGGTGGAGGGGGGGGGACAAGGGGGAGGGGGAGGGGGGGGTTGGGTGGGGGGTGGGGATTAGCGGGTTGGAGAGGGGGAAGGGGATGGAGTTATGTGAGGGTACGTGGGATACCTGGGAGATAAGAATTGCAGTGGGAAGGGGGATCTGGGCGGCCCTGCCTGGTGTGGTGGGCGCAATATATTTTTGGCGTGTGAGGGCTTACAGTCCACAGCTAGTGGATTTGAAGCTTCCTCAAAATAGGTAGTCAACATAAGAGAGCTTCTGGGCTTGTGTTTCCAAGTTGTAATGTAATTGAGGTAGTAGTGCTATACGGTGTCTTCTATGTAGTGTTTGAACTTGGAAAACATGCACAAAGGGGGAGAAAGGGGTTTATAAGCTTATGGTATTGGTAGTGCACATAGTAATAGTTATAGAAGCTGGTATACTTGCATTAGTTTCCGGGAAATTATCAAAAAGGGTCCTCTCTCCGCCAGAGGTGTGAGCAAAAAGAGGTCTGGCAGCTTTCTGCCTCGAGACCTTGTCTCCGAACCTCTGATACATCAATTTCGTCGTACAACACGCACATATTATAGGATCGTGACACATCGCATTTTGTGGAGGCGCGTCATACTGTAGCCCTATGACGTGGAAAGTTATTATGAACAGAGTTTTAGGGCACTTACAAAAACTAAAACCCATAGGGCCCTCGCATGCGACTTGGGATGGCATCAACCCTAATATCGCAAAAAGGGCCGCGTGTTTAGGGTTGATGCCATCCCGAACGGAATTCGGTCCCCTGGGTTTTTTTTGCCCTTTTGAAAAGAAACGTTTAATCAAAAATACTAAAGAGCAGACTCAGTGTATTACAGGCTCGACGTAGACGGACCTTTTTTGGCACACGTCTGGCGGAGCTTGGACCCTTTCTGATCATTTCCCTTAGTTCCAGCAAAGTAGGGAGATGGTGTGGCCTCTATCGGTTTCCCAGGTCGTTTGCCTGGTCCTACTGGGACGCGGCACCCGACTGCCCCTTGACACAGTTTCGAATGTACAATGCATGCACAGCATGACTACCAGTTTTCCTTGCTCTCGGGAAACACGCATGAGGCGGATTTGAGCCGTCGATTTCGTTTCAAAGCTGCATCGGCCGGCCATTCGTCACAACCTCCCGTTGACCAAGGGCGGATTACGAAGAGTTCAGTTTAGTGCGTTTCAATGAGGTGCTTCGCGTTCATGCGGGTTTCCTTTGACATCTAGCGCGGCTGGGAGGGTTCGAACTCTTCCTGACGATGTGTTTCCCTTCCCTACATCATCCGAAGGAAATTCCCCAATCCCCCAAACCAACGAGTATTTTTTATTGCGGTTGAGTGAGTTCCCTCCTGGAACAGAAGGATCAAGAACGATCGAAAACAATTGGGTGGAGTTTGGGGCAGAAACGAACGCGTTGCCCTAACCAAGCCACTCCAACTGTACTGCCCTGCTGTATTTTCCTGCGTTCTGCCGACTCCCGCACAAATTGAGTCAGTATACACCCAATAACTCAATAAAATAGCACGTATTAAAAGTCCGCTTTTGTTACACTCACCTCAAGTTTGATTCAGATTTGTATTGTCTCACGGAGAGCGAGTCCCGTCGAACGTGGGTTTCTCAGGCAAGAGACTCTATAACGTTACAGTAACCAGGCAGATAAACAATCGCTCCCGCCCGAAACGAAAATGCCTACTTAAGAGAATAAATAGTGTACTACACTCTACCGTGGTGCTGCTGTCTGTCTCTGTGTCTGCCTACACTATGCCATGCCATCCTCCGCTCCACACCACCAGTCGCCCATCCCATATCCTCCTCTCCTCCTGCCACTTAGCATTCCATCAGTACACCTGCCTCACGCATTCACTACCTGAGGCTACCAGTTCTGCTTCTCCGCATCCAAACTGGCTTTCTGCTAAGATCCGCTCCAGGGAGAAGCTGAGTGTAAATCGCGACTGCAGTGTTTCTGGTAGGACGTGGAAATTTGCCATTTCAGCCGATGGGGATCCGTTATTGGAGCGGCAGAAGCGGGTTGCGCTTTCACTGACAAGTAGGGATTCAGGAATTTCTTTAAAGCTTCAGCGTTTTCTGCTCCTATTCCGTCCGGCGCGATCAACATCACCATAGATCCCCCAGTAGTTTAAAGCCCGACATATTCCCAGTAGTTTAGAGAGCCCGACATTGGTGCCATTGCCTCGGACGGCGAAGCCGAAGGAAACGGTGTCATTCATTATCAACCGAAAGTGCCGATGAGTTCCCGCTGATACGGCTTCCTGCATTATGCTGCATTGCGAAACGTGAAACCGTATCCCATTGTAAGCGCATTGCATCCTAAGATCAGAGTTTATTCCCTATATTCCTCTATGGAATCCGCCTTAAAAGTCCATTTTCACACTATTTAAGCTGACAGGAGCCTCTAGTCCGCCGGTAGGAGCCGCGGGCCACGTAGCGACAGCATTGTCACTTGTAGATGCATCCGGCTGTCCCGCCTTTCCCGCCTTTCCCGCTGATCCATAACATTTTCCCTTTCTCTCGCGACTCAGCAGCGAGTGCAGCGTCAGGGACGGGAGGGCCAGCGGATCCCTACCCTCATCACCAGCAGCTGCCGTGGAAACAGCGAATTTGGTGACCACCAGCCGCAGCAGCAGCAGCAGCAGCAATAGCAGCAAAAGCAGGAGCAGCGGCAACAGAATCACCAGCGCAGTAGCGATTGTAGCACAGCAACAACCACCACCACCACCACCAGTGGTAACCCTAACATCATGGTTCCATCACCGGGGGATCTGGACGATGACGTGGCATCCATGCTCGTTAATATCACGGACATGCACGACTTCAAGCACGAGGTGACTGTAGAGGAGGCGCTAACGCTGAACCAAGTGGAGAAGCGCGCGAGAGAGCAGGGCCGCGTCTGGTGGAGCTACGAGGCGAACAAAGGGCCGTACTGGTTCCTAGAAGAACCCCCCGCTAGTATCACAGGCGTGCATCTAAGAGCCAACCTCCAGGCGACGATCCAGCAGGCGACGAACAACCTCCACCTGCACCTTCACCACCACTCCCCTTCCTCTTCCACCTCCACTCTCCCCTCCTCCTCCTCTTGCCCCGCGCCCTGCTCCGCCGGAGGAGGGCTGTCCGGATCCGGGCTATTCACTAACATGGCGATGCCCGCGGTGCTGAAGCGGCTAGTGCGGAAGGGCATTCCGCCGCATTTGCGGCCGCGCGTTTGGAAGGCGGTGTCTGGAGCGGCTAAGAAGGAGGCGGTGGCGCCTGACGATTATTATTCGTCGCTGGTGGAGGAGACGAGTTGGCGCACGACGGACCATACCCTGCAGATCGACCACGTGCGTGGGTAGTGTGGGGGCCGGTAATGGTGTCGTGTAGTGCGGTGTGCTGTCTTGTGCCGTGTGCGGTCGTGTGCTTGTGAGTCTGGTAAAAGGCAGTCGCGAGTCGCGAGTCGCGAGTCTCGCTGGTGGAGGAGATGAGCTGGCGCACGACGGACCATACGCTGCAGATCGACCACGTGGGTAGTGGGAGTGCGCAGGAGAGCGCAGGTAGACCACGTGGGTAGTGTGACAGCGAGAGCTTGGATGGTGTTTGAGGATCTTAGGGCTGCAATCGTGGTATTGAATGTCGTTTCGTGGGCTGTATCGAATGTCTCCCTGTCCTTCATATGTTGCCATCCCTCTTACGCCTCTCCCCATCTCCCCCTCTCCCCGCCTCTCTCCCCCTCCCTTCCCTCTCTCCCCCACTCTCCCCCTGTCTCCCCCACTCTCCCCCACTCTCCCCCTCTCTCCCCCTCTCTCCTCCTCTATCCTCCTCTCTCCCCCACTCCCCCTCTCTCCCCCACTCTCCCCCTCTCTCCCCCAATCTCCCCCTCTCTCCCCCTCTCTCCCCCTCTCTCCCCCTCTCTCCCCCTCTCTCCCCCTCTCTCCCCCTCTCTCTCCCTCTCTCCCCCTCTATCCCCCTCTCTCCCCCGCGCCAGGATCTGCACCGCACGTTCCCCAAGCACCCGCGCATGGACACGCCAGAGAGTCTGGCGGCTCTGAGGCGCGTGCTCGTGGCTTATTCCTTCCGGGACTCGCACGTGGGGTACTGCCAGGTGAGCTCTACACTGGTCGTTCAGGTGTGCGCACGCATCGCTCACGCCACACCGCCTCCCCTTAGGGAATGAACTACGTGGCGGCGCACCTGCGGCTGCTGGTGATGCGCAGCGAGGAGGACGCGTTCCGGATACTGGCGACGCTGGTGGAGAACGTGCTGTACAACGACTGCTTCTCACTCCTCCAAACCCCCCCCCCCCCCCCCCCCCCCCGCCCCCACCACTCCTTCCTCAATCCTTCCCAACCTCATCCCTCCACCCTCCCCTTCCTTCGCCCGTACTCTCCTCACCCCCCGCCCCCTACCCCTCCCCCGCACGCTCCCCTTCTCCCGTCCCATTCCTCCCCTCCCCTCAGGGCATGAACTATGTAGCGGCTTATCTGCTGCTGGTGATGCGCAGCGAGCAGGACGCATTCTGGATGCTGGCCAGTGGCCACCCCTTCCCGCATCCAGCCCATTCCCCTACTCCCCACCTGCGCTACCCCCACCACCACCCTCAGGGCATGAACTATGTAGCGGCTTACCTGCTGCTGGTGATGCGCAGCGAGGAGGACACGTTCTGGATGCTGGCGACGCTGGTGGAGAACGTGCTGTACGACGACTGCTTCGCGGAGGACCTGTTTGGCGTGCACGTGGAGCAGCGGGTGCTCAAGGACCTGCTCAAGAAGAAACAGCCCAAGTGAGGGAGAGGGGGGGGGGGGGGGGGGCGGGTTTGAAGGGGAGAGGGAGGATGGGGAGGGAAGAAACAACCTGCTCAAGAAGGAAACCGCAGTGAGAGACCAACACGTGGGGAGGGAGAGGGGGGAGTGGGGGCAGTGAGGGAGGGACGGAGGGAGGCGGAGGAAGGGGCAAGGGGAGCGGCAAACTCGGTCGGAGGAAACTCAGCTCAATCCCCGGATCTTGTGCCTCTTGTCCAGCTGTCCTTCTGCTCTCCTTGTATCCCTCCGTTCGAATCAATACAAGGCATGCGAGTGCGAGCAGGGACTCCGTCCCTCTCTTCTTCCTCCTCTTTTCCCATCGTCTTCACCATCTGCTCCCCATCCCCACCTTTGCCGGCCCATCTTTCCCCACCCACCTCCCCCACCCCCACCTTTCCTCTTCCCATCCTCCCCAACCCACTCCTCTCCTGTTCCCATCCTCCTCCGCACCTGCACCGTCCCCTTCCCCAGGCTAGCGAGTCACCTGGACAAGGTTGGGTTTGAGCTCTCCCTCGTCACCACCGAGTGGTTCCTCTGTGTCTTCGCCAAGACATTCCCCTCCGAGGTGCGTGTGTCTGTCTCTTTCTCTGCCGAATGTGGGGCGTTGCCTGGCTGCCCTTCAAATCTTGATTTGAGGCGCCTCTAAACTTTACCTGGCTGCCCTTCAAATCTTGATTCCCTGTTTCCTCCCCCTGCTGGGCTTCTGCGCACTAGGTGACCTTTGAGCCGTCTTAAAAGTTAATGTGTCCCCTCTCCTCTCCTCCCATCCCCCCCTCCTCCCACCCAACCCCCCTCCTCGCAGCAGACCACTCTGCGTGTGTGGAACATGCTGTTCAACGAGGTCGTGAGGGGCGTTCTTCAATGAGGTCGTGAGGGGCGTTCTTCAATGAGGTCGTGAAGTCAAACGTGACTTATGGGAGTCAGCTGAAAAGTGCATGTGTCCCCCCCTTTCCCCCCCCTCTCCCCCTTTTTCCTCCCCAGACGACTCTGCGTGTGTGGGACGTGCTGTTTAACGAGGGTGCCAAAGTCCTCTTCAGGGTCGCCCTCGCTCTCTTCAAGGTAACTTAACCCCTTCACATGCCATGCGTCCTTCTCCCTGCTATGCCTCCCCCTCTTCCCCCCTCCGCCTCTTTCTGCAGTCGTATTTAGTGCCAAAAGAACGAGGCTGAGCTGGTGGTAACGCATTTTGTTCGAATCGCCATGGTATTGAAATAACATTTCCCCCTTTCCTTTTCTCTGCTTGGAGCAAACCCGAGCTAGCTCCTTCCCCCCCCTTTCCGTCTGCTCTCTCCACCCACTTTGCCTCTCCTTCTCCCCTTGTCAGTCACATGAACGAGTCTGAGCTTATACTAATGCAGTTCGAAGCGCCTTGGTATTCAGGTATCATCCACCCCCCAACACCTCCTCCCCTTCCCCCCCCCACTTCCCTTCTGCCGTCCCCACCCCCTTTGTCTCTCCTTCTCCCCTTGTCCGTCAGATGAAAGAGGCCGTGGTCATGCATGACAAACAACGCGGCTTGTTGATGGCCATGAGAGTCCAAACGCCATCCCCTCTCCCTGCCCCCGTTCGCCCTGCTGCGTACCCTCCTCTTCTCTTGAGTCGACTCAAAAGCAAACGCCATCCCCTCTCCCTGTCCCCGCTCGCCCTGCTGCATACCCTCCTCTTCTCGTTGAATCTATGCTCTGTCCTGTTGTCCTGTTGTCCTGTTGTCCTGTTGTCCTGTTGTCCTGTTGTCCTGTTGTCCTGTTGTCCTGTTGTCCTGTTGTCCTGTTGTCATGTTGTCCTGTTGTCCTGTTGTCCTGTTGTCCTGTTGTCCTGTTGTCCTGTTGTCCTGCTGTCCTTTTGTCCTGTTGTCCTGTTGTCCTGTTGTCCTGTTGTCCTGTTGTCCTGTTGTCCTGTTTTCCTGTTGTCCGATGAACGAGGCTGACCTCATGAGAGCGCAGCATCCTAGGGAGCTTCAAAGGACAAAACGTCAACCCCTCCCTCCCCCCTCTCCCCCCCCCCTCCCCCCCCGCCCCCGTTGCTCTGCTCCCTCTCCACAACCCTCCGCTTCTTTTCCGCGCCCATCGACCCGGAACCCAGATGAGCGAGGCTGGGCTCACGCCTGCATGTTGGAGGAACCTTAGATTCTAAGCCAGGCTTTCCGAATGCCCTCTCTCCGCCCCCTTCCCTCTCCCTCTTTCCTGGCATGTGAACGAGGCTAAGCTGATGACAGTGCAGCATCTGGAGAGGGTTCAAGGGCAGCTTGACCCATCGCTCTGCGTTCCCTCTGCCCCCATTCCACTCCGCTCTTCTCTGCTTGACCCATCGCTCTGTGTTCCCTCTGCCCCCATTCCACTCCGCTCCTCTCTCTCTCCTTGCCCGTCGACCTGGCCCAACACCCAGATGAACGAGGCTGAGCTGATGACGGCGCAGCATCTGGGGGCAGCTTCAAAGTACATAATCCCCCCCCCCCTCTTTTTCGCTCCGCATTCCGAATGCCCCCCCTCCACCCCCCTCTGCTCCCTCTCTGCGCCCATCTCCTGGCAGATGAACGAGGCTGAGCTGATGACGGCGCAGCATCTGGGGGATGTGGTGGAGGTGCTCAACCGAGCCAGCAGCCGACAGTTCGACCCGGACATCCTGCTGCAGGTGAGTCGTGAGTCGTGTGGCGTTTGAAGTAGGTTAGTTTTGAGACGTCTTAAAACCAACCTACTTAACCAGCAGCCGACAGTTCGACCCGGTCATTTTGCTGCTGGTGAGATTCCTTCTGCTGCAGGTGGGTTGTGAGTCGTGTGGCGGTGTAACTGGTGACGAGGTGGCTTTTGACTCGACCCAGTTTATATCTTTTTGAATTTGCAATCCAAGGTGCTCGATTGAGCCAGCACGAGATAGTTTGACCCGGGCATTCTTCTGCAGGTGAGTCTCTGTGTTTATTTCCTGGCATCTCATGCACATCTCATGTCATCACATCTCATCTCACGCCTTTCCCTTCCCCATCTACCCCCAATCCCCTCCTCCGCCATTCCTCTCCCTGGGTGGCGTTTGATCTTCTAGGCACTATGTCCATGTCGACCATTCTCAAGCAGCGCAGCGGCAGAAGATCAGACTTGCCCAAACCTGCCACTCCTGTTCAGAAGTACAGACTTACCCTCATTCCCCCTCCTCCTTTACAGCTCACCCCACTACCCCTTCCCCCCAACTGCATTCCCCCAAGGTGGCGTTTGATCGGCTGGGCACCATGTCCATGTTGACCATTCTGAAGCGGCGCAAGCGGCAGAAGAACAGGCTTGCCCAAACTTGCCACTCCTCTACCCCCATTCCCCTCCCTCCTTCACTGCTCACCCCTCTACCCCTCCACTCCACTCTCCCCAGGTGGCGTTTGACCGCCTGGGAACCATGTCCATGTCGACCATTCTGAAGCAGCGCAAGCGGCAGAAGAACGCAGTGGTCGCAGCACTGGAGGTGCGGCAGCAGCAGCTCAACGCGTACACCAGCTCACACGGCAGCAGCGGCAGCAGCCGCAGCCAGGAGAACAGAGAGAGGGACAGCAGGGAGAGCAGGGAGAGCAGGGAAGGCACCAGCACAAGCATGGGGGGTAGCAGCAGCAGCAGCAGCAGCGGCAGCGGCAGCAGAGAAACTGATGCTGCGAATGGCGGTAGGGGTGATGGCAGTGGTTCGAGGTTTAAGGAGAGCAGCAGTGTGAGTGGGGTGAGTGCAGTGTGTGTGAGTGTGAGTGAGCGGCTGGAGAGTAGTGAGGGAGAGGCACTGCAAACCGATGAGGGGGAAACTATTCGAGCGCATAGCTTTTCAGGCGCGTTCGCTGAAGGGAAGGGGACTGGGGAGGAGCCGCGTGAGGGGGACGAGAGAGGGATGGAGAATAGGCAAGCATGTGGTGGGGGGAGTGAAGGTGCTCATACATCCACATCCAACATTGACAAGGCCACTGATGCATCTTCTGCTGCCGCGGGAACCGTTGATTTTATCTCTGTCCCGGAGCGCGGCCCTCGTAGAAACTTCCGCAGCGCATCCACGTCTGTTGTCTTCTCCTCTTCCTCCTCCATGAATAGTGCCTCCACCAACCATCGAACACTCCCTGCAGGGGCTCTGTTCCGCGACGCTAGTGCTGCTTGTGGCAGCAGAAACAGCCGCGGCAGAGGGGCTTTGGGGGGAGCTCTGAAAGGGGGGGTCGCCGGGGGTGGGGAAGGGTGGGGGGGAGTTTTGGAGGAGGCGGAGAGGAGAGGGGGGGAGGAGAGAGGGGGGAGGCAATGGGGGGAGGAAGGGTTCACCCCGCCGCAAGGCCTACCCCCTCGCATAGCCTCACACCTGAATCTGAACCTGAACTCGATGTCTGTTGCTCGTATGCATGCTGCGGCTGAAGCGGCTCTTTCTGCGTTCTCTGCTGCTTCAGAAGTGTCTTCTGTGGCGGCAGCGTCTGTGTCGCTGGCCATGGGATCGAGAGAGGCTGAGAACGCGCTCACACGTACCAACTCCCTATGAGTTGCTTCCATGCCCGTCCACGCCCTTCCACACCCTTCCACACCCTTCCACGCCCTTCCACATCCTTCCACGCCCTTCGACACCCTTTCACGCCCTTCCACACACTCTAGTGGCTAGATAGCTGCCTTGCACTGTGAGAGATGCGGATTCTCGTGTTTTGGAAGGCACCTCAGAACACACCTGTTCCTGTCCCCACAGGGTCACCACTGACTCGCTGCAGGGAGATTGAGACCACTCTCATACAGGCAAGACCCAAGTCCTTTCTGTTGGATGACTGCTTCGTAACCATACGTGTGTGTGCCTCTGCTGGTTGCGACAGTTCTGTGTGTCTCTGGAGGTTGTGTAGGGGAGAGAGGGTGAAGGTGAGGGTGAGGCTGAAGCTGAGTGAATGTGGGCCTATTGATTGGAGAGTCTCTCTGGCCCGAGACGCTTTCGTGGTTTGTTTTCGGGTGGAGTATTTTGGTGGCGGACTCAGCAACAGTCCTCTGTTCTCTGCTGTTGTCTTTTCTCGTCCACACTGTGAGAAGGCTGTGCGAGTGTGCCGTCTTCTGCGAAGGGTGAATGGATTGTTGCCGTGTACCCGCACCTCATCTCCCACTGTCTTGACCAGCAATTTCGTATTACATGTCTCACTCACTCATGTAGGGCCATCACCCACTTCTCTCTTGCTCTCCCCTCTCTCTTTCTCCCCCGTCACTACTCCTTGTTCCATCTTTCACCTATACGTGTAATCACAACCCCGCTGCAGCTCTTTGGTACGAAGCGGGTTGGGTAGTGAATCATATACGAGTCTTGAGTTGTAGTTGTGAACCAATTTATGTCATGTACGCTTGCGAAATGACACGGTGCCACTCGAGATATCTGCTTTAAGTCCTGAGTGTCCTCCCTCTAACATGGGAGGATGAGATTGGCGGACTCGGGTCGCGTACCCTCTGACATGGCTTCCTCGTCATTTGATTGGTCGTTTCCTAAAATGGCAATCCAACATCTTTTGACATCGTTATCAGCACACTCTCCCTGTGACGAGCTTGTAAATTTCCACAAGCCTGCCTTCATCAATCATGCGATTCACGAATATCTTGGGGGCGTAATTCTAGATAGAGTCACTCGGAACAAACAGACGAACACTCTTGAACCCAGCGTCGTCTTGCACGAGGTCCCCGATTTCGACGCGTCGCGTGCATACCCGAACTGCAACCCCAAGGTCGCGGATGCATAATAGGGTGACATTTGAGGTTCGGCTTCTTTACTGAACACGCACTACAGGTTCATTCAAACAGGTAATCCTGTCGGACAACCATAGCCAGTAGTACTACAGTCTCAGGATTCAGGTAATCCAGTCAGACTGCTCACAGTTACCCACTCATACGCAGTACCCTCAACATAGAGAGCCACGCGGCGGCACTCGTCCCAATTGACCGGCGTATTTCCAGCGCGGGACGACGTGGTTCGGGCGGGGCGGCGGTAGGAGAGCTCTCGGCTGTTTAGATACGCACGGGACGAGGGGGAGAATGTCGCTCGTGGCAGTGCATGCAAGCACCGCGAGCTTCACGCTGGTACAAAATCTGCTTTGCACCCGTTGGCCTGTGGGGGAATGCTTCGTAAGATGACTATTGAGTCGACTCAAAAGCTATGGGCCTGTGGTGGACTGCTTCGTTAGACTTTCATAAGTGGTACTTGATACGGAGACGAGGCAGTGACATGGACGATCTTTTGGCAGTCACGGAGTTTTAAGCTGCCCGAGACATGGCCGACCAGGGGATTCCACATCGCGATGGTTTTTTCGTCTCTCCTTTAAATTTTTGAGAAAGTTCGTGTTTCTTGGATGGAATGGCGTGACTGCACTTATTATTAAAGGATGGCGTAATTGCCTTGTAATGGATGGTTCCTGGCGATCCCGAAGGCCGTGTTGGCAATCCCAAAATCCGACGGCTGTCATGAATGCAGTCCTAGACTGCACCTGAATTCGACGGCTGCTACATTTCTCGTTTACATTTGAATTTGACACCTGGCACTCATCAGCCATGGCTTCCATGCTGTTTCACGCACAACAGAAAGGCAGCCGAAGGCACCATAGGAGCCATGGCTTCTCCTCTCATCCCACTTCCTTTTCCCTCCCCCTTCCCCCCCCTTCCACACCATCCCCTGCGTCCCCGCTGCAAGCAGACCCACTGCAGCAATACCGTCACTCGAGCTACACCGGCAGCATCTCCTATCCGTTACAGCTGTCCTTCCGCGAGCAACGCGCGCCAGCGTACGTGGCAAGAACCGTGCCCGAGAATCACGCACTGCAGACGGCAGGAGAGGACACGTGGCGACTGCCAGCCTCGCAGGACAACAGCTGGAGGAATCCACGTGGCAGGAGCTCCCTGGGGAGGGGGTGCCAAGGGGGGCCTCCGGAGAGTAGGGACTCAGGGACGGGGGTTACTAGGAGGGAGGCGATTAGGGGAAGGGACGGCGGTTGCTGTACAGGGGAAGGCGGCGCATGGGAGGAGCCAGGGTGTGGTATTCTTGGCTCTATGGGGTTTCCAACGACAAGAACAGCAGCAGCAGCAGGGCGCAAACTCATCATCCCCGTCAGCATCCCCGTCAGCATCCCCGTCAGCATCACCATATTCGCCATCATCAACAGTATCAGGTTCTACGTCAGCTTCTGACACGGATTCCTACTTTGACTCGGGGTCGGATGACACCGAGGGCCCTGAAACCCCTCGAGTGGCGCGCCTGAGGGCGTTCCACACGTCCAGCATCCGCATCCGTCCGCACACAGGAGGTGCAGGGATGGATTCCTCCCTGGCACCACCTTTCCAACATTTAGGAATTCAAGCCTCTGACCTCGGATCTTCGGAAGCAGCAGCAGCGCTGCTGGCTCAGTACCTGCAGTCGGCCCAGGGCCAGCGCAAGCTACTCAACGAGGGGGCTCTGCAGCAGGTGTCTGGCCCTCCTTCCCTGCATCCCTTTCTCCCTACATCCCTTTCTCCCTTGTATCCGTTTGCTCCCGACCGCCGCTTTCTTCCTGTGTACATTGAGACGGCTTCTTGAACGCCTGGTAGATCTCGACCCTCACCCTCATGCAGTGCTGAGTGCCCCCTCTTGCTGCACCCGTCACCCCCCTCTTTCTGTGGTCCGCTTCTCCCCGCACCCAGCCCTTGATACCGTTTTTTAGGCGCCTCAAAAATCACCCTCACGCAGTGCTGAGTGCTCCCTCCTGCTGCACCCGTCACCCGTCTCTTTCTGTGGTCCGCTTCTCCCCGCACCCAGCCCTTGTTGCCTTTTTTATCTGAATTTGTGAGATTGCAATCTGCAATCGCTCCTTCTTCACAAGTCCCCACCTGCCTCACTTTCTGTGTGCATGTGTGCCTTTGTGCCTGTGTGCCTGTTTGCTTGTGCACGTGCATGCACACACACACACACACACACACACACACACACACACACACACACACACACACACACACACACACACACACACACACTCCACTCCCATTGCCATCACCATCACCATCGCCATCACCATCGCCATCACCATCGCCATCACCCTCACCATCACCCTCACCATCACCACTGCAGTTGGAACCTCTTTCAGACAGTCTATTCAGGTGCGTTTACTCTCTCCCAACCCTGCTTTCAGCCTTCTCAGTTCTTGGCTTCCACAAACCATGCCTACCTTGCCTGACTTACTAACCACACCTATCCTTCTGACCATGCCTAGCCCTATCCCACAATCCCTAGCCCTTAACCCCCCCCCCACCTATCCCTTCAACCCCCCCACCCCCCCCCCCTATTCCCCCGTGCATCAGGTGTTATCTTCATCCACTGGAGCTCTTCAAGATCTCCGTTCAGCCAATCATGGACCTCCACGTGTCCTCTTCCCATGACACCTGCACGGTGGAAATGCTCTCCTGTCAAGTGAGTGAGCCCCTCTCTCACCGCTCCTTCCGGTGTTCTCCTTACGTCTCTGAACCATTCTCACGTACCCCCGTTGCTCTTATGTCTCGAAAGCACTCTCATGCTCCTCTCCCCGGTGACCTTTGGTGGTTCTCTCTCTCCTAGTCCCCCACACTCCCCATTCCCATTTCCTGGGTAATAGAAGTATGGTTTTGAGGCGCTTCAAAACTAGACACCTATCACGCGGTGTTGAGGCGCCTCAGACTAGACTTCTTTCCTGTCCCCCAAACCCCTCATTCCAATCTCCCGGGTGTTTTCCCACCCACCGTCCCTTTGCTCCTCCTCCTGTACCCCCACGCCAATACCCTACACCTCGCCTGGTGTTTTTTTAACGTTCCAGAAAACGCCCCACCCTCACATTCCCCCCTCCACTGCGCCTGGCTTCCTGCCTCTCTGTTGTTTTCTAGGCGCCGCTAAATGGTCTCGCCCCCTGCCTCTGTGCTGCGCTGCTGTGCTGTTCTGCTGTTGTGTTGTTCTTGCAGCTGGGGACATCACGGCAAGGCAACCAGGACCGAGTGTTTGAAGGTGGGGGGTGTTAAAAACAAGGGTGCGAGTGAGAAAGGGTGAGAGAGAAAGGGTGAGAGTGAGAAAGGGTGAGAGTGAGAAAGGGTGAGAGTGAGAAAGGGTGAGAGAGAGAAAGGGTGAGCGAGGTGGGGAGGTGGGGAAAAGGGGGGGGGGGGAGGGAGGGAAGGGGTGGGGAGACGGGATTGGTGTCGAGTGGGAGGAGTTGGGAAATGGTGGAGGTGAGGTGCTCGGATGGTGGTTGTCGTTTCGTTAGGCAAGTCTTGGGTTCTTTCTAATTCCTCCCTTTTCTCCTGGATTCTTCTTGTCTTTGCGTATGCTTGTCTTTCTCACAGTCCTTTTTGTCATTACCTCTTCCCAATCCTGCCTCTTGTATCCTACCCTTTCTTCTCTTCTCTTTTCCTGCTGCTGCTGCTGCCTCGGCTGATGCCAACACCTTCCATCCAAAACTCCTCTCCTCTCCTCTCTTCTCCTCTCCTCTCCCCTCCGCCACTCTGCTGCAGGTTACCTCAAGAACGTGATGACGTGGCAGCCATGTCAGCAGGTTCAGGGCCACGTGGTACTCTCTATGAGCTCTGAGATCCGAGTGTCGCTGGAGGTGCGTGGGGGGGGACGGGGGAGGTGCGTGAGGGGGGAGGTGCGTGAGGGGGGGAGGTGCGTTGGGCTGGGGGCATGGGATAAGGTAAGAAGAGGAGGGGAGCCGCGGGGGAGGGGGAGGATAGACAGGGCGGGGGGAGGAGGGGGGGGGACGAGGTGCGTGGGGGGAGGGGAGGGTGCGCCTGGGGGAAAGCGAGTTATGGAGGTGTGTTGGCAACGTGGAGGGTACAGGGCCACGCGGTGCTCTTGATGAGCAGTCCATCTTCTTCACTCACTGGTTCTTTCTGCCATGTCAGTGACATTTTAGCCACCTCAGGACTCGCCTATCCTCTCCTCTCCTCTCCTCTCCTCTCCTCTCCTTACCTCTCCTCCCCCCTCCTCTCCTCTCCTCTCCTCTCCTCTCCTCTCCACTCCTCTCCTCTCCTCTCCTCTCCTCTCCTCTCCCTGTCATGTGTCTGTCATGTGTCTGTCATGTGTCTGTCACGTGTCTGCCATGTGTCTGTCATGTGTCTGTCATGCGTCTGTCATGCGTCTGTCATGCGTCTGTCATGCGTCTGTCATGCGTCTGTCATGCGTCTGTCATGCGTCTGTCATGCGTCTGTCATGCGTCTGTCATGTGTCTGTCATGCGTCTGTCATGTGTCTGTCATGCGTCTGTCATGCGTCTGTCATGCGTCTGTCATGTGTCTTTCATGTGTCTGTCATGTGTCTGTCATGTGTCTGTCATGCGCCTGTCATGGGTCTGTCATGTGTCTCACATGTGTCTGTCATGTTTCTGTCATGTGTCTGTCATGTGTCTGTCATGTGTCTGTCATGTGTCTGTCATGTGTCTTTCATGTGTCTGTCATGCGTCTGTCATGCGTCTGTCATGCGTCTGTCATGCGTCTGTCATGTGTCTTTCATGTGTCTGTCATGTGTCTGTCATGTGTCTGTCATGCGCCTGTCATGGGTCTGTCATATGTCTGTCATGTGTCTGTCATGTGTCTGTCATGTGTCTGTCATGTGTCTGTCATGTGTCTCACATGTGTCTATCATGTGTCTGTCATGTGTCTGTCATGCGTCTGTCATGCGTCTGTCATGTGTCTGTCATGTGTCTGTCATGTGTCTGTCATGTGTCTGTCATGTGTCTGTCATGTGTCTGTCATGCGTCTGTCATGTGTCTGTCATGTGTCTGTCATGTGTCTGTCATGCGTCTGTCATGCGTCTGTCATGCGTCTGTCATGCGTCTGTCATGCGTCTGTCATGTGTCTGTCATGCGTCTGTCATGCGCCTGTCATGTGTCTGTCATATGTCTGTCATGTGTCTGTCATGTGTCTGTCATGTGTCTCACATGTGTCTGTCATGTGTCTCACATGTGTCTATCATGTGTCTGTCATGTGTCTCACATGCGTCTGTCATGCGTCTGTCATGTGTCTGTCATGCGTCTGTCATGTGTCTGTCATGTGTCTGTCATGCGTCTGTCATGTGTCTGTCATGTGTCTGTCATGTGTCTGTCATGTGTCTGTCATCTCGTCCCATTGCTGCTCTGCAGGTCTACACTCTGCCCTTCACTCTCCTCCCTCTCTCCGCGGTGGAGAAGCCAGGAAACAAGTAAGCCTCTCCATCTCCTTCTCTCCTTCCTCCGTCCTTCTGCTCTCCTTTTGTTCTCCTTCCTCTCTCCTTCCGATCTCCTTCCTCTCTCCTTCTGCTCTCCTTCCTCTCTTCTTCGTCTCCTCTTTCCCACTACCGAATATCCCCTTCAAGGAGAATCTGGGAGCAGCAACCCTCCGTTCAAGCAAGCACACTTCTGAAGCACTCCAAATGCCCTTCCTCTTCCTGCAGGCTTTCAGGCGCATCAAAATTCAAGTGCCTTCTACTTCAAATGTCCTTATATCTTTCCTTGTATCCCCATGCACATCTCGACACCTCCATTTCCCTCCATCCTCTTGCATATCTCTGCCAGCTTATTCTTTCCAAGCAACAAGCATATTGTCAACGTAGAAACCGCGTGAAATGAGTCTGCTTTTGAGTTGACTCAAAGCATATCTCCGCCTTATTCTCTCCCATTACAGCAGCCCTTCCTTTCGTAACTCTCCTCCCCCCATCGAATCCTTCCCACTCTGATTCTCTCTTGCTATTTCTACCGCGCTGCATGCTTTCTGCCCTGCCTTCCCAGATCTCAAATAACAGCAACCCTCGCCCCCTCTCCCCCAAATCGCAATTGCTGCTTCTGAATGTCAGAATGCTATCCGCCCTGCTATCCCAGCTTTGCCCTGCTATCCCAGCTCTGCCCTGCTATCCCAGCTCTGCCCTGCTATCCCAGCTCTGCCCTGCTATCCCAGCTCTGCCCTGCTATCCCAGCTCTGCCCTGCTATCCCAGCTCTGCCCTGCTATCCCAGCTCTGCCCTGCTATCCCAGCTCTGCCCTGCTATCCCAGCTCTGCCCTGCTATCCCAGCTCTGCCCTGCTATCCCAGCTCTGCCCTGCTATCCCAGCTCTGCCCTGCTATCCCAGCTCTGCCCTGCTATCCCAGCTCTGCCCTGCTATCCCAGCTCTGCCCTGCTATCCCAGCTCTGCCCTGCTATCCCAGCTCTGCCCTGCTATCCCAGCTCTGCCCTGCTATCCCAGCTCTGCCCTGATATCCCAGCTCTGCCCTGCTATCCCAGCTCTGCCCTGCTATCCCAGCTCTGCCCTGCTATCCCAGCTCTGCCCTGCTATCCCAGCTCTGCCCTGCCTTCCCGAGTGACATTGCACCATACTCTTCTTCAGGCGCCTCACTCCTTCCCTGGTTCTCTCTCTGCTGCTTCTGCCTGTCAGGATGTTATCTGCCCTGCTACACCAGCTCTCAAATAACAGCAACCCTCATTCCCCCTCCCCTGATTCTATCTCACTATTTCTGCCTGGCAGGATGTTCTCTGCCCTGCTATCCCAGCTCTGCCCCGCCTTCCTGAACGACATTGCAGCAGATTTCACCCAGTGGCACGAGCAGTACCGGGCGCTGTGAAGTGAAGTCAGGGCAATGGGCCCAAGTGAAGCAACGGCAAGCTGTCTAAGTTGCGTTGCAGCAGACTTCGCACAGTGGCAGGAGCAGTACCGCAAGCTGTGAATCTTTTATGCAAAGCCGTGCCAAGGTGGCTAGGTGAAGCCACAGCAAGGTGGTTAGTGTCAAACATAAGCATAACTCATGTTTGTATAGACTGTATAGGGTCGCCTCTTAGAGGGTACAAAACTCTTAGGTATAAACCCTTGTACTCTCTCTCTATTCATCAATTCTTCAGTTCTAAGATGGTATCAGCAGCAGGTAGGTCCCACCGCCCCCCCACGCTTCCGCCCTAGGATCTACCCCCGTGCGTCACGCCCCCTAGGCCCCGTCGCGTCAACTAGGACCAGTCGCGCCCCCCCTTGGGCCCGTCGCGCCCCCCCTGGGCCCGTCGCGTCCCCCCTGGGCCCGTCGCGCCCCCCCTGGGCCCCGTCGCGTCACCTAGGACCAGTCGCGCCCCCCCCTGGGCCCGTCGCGCCCCCCTGGGCCCCGTCGCGTCCCCTGGGCCCCGTCACGCCCCCCTGGGCCCCGTCACGCCCCCCTGGGCCCCGTCGCGCCCCCTGGGCCCCGTCACGCTCCCCTGGGCCCGTCGCGCCCCCTAGCACCGGTCACGCCCCTCCTGGGCCCCCCGTTGGTGCCTCCTGGCCCTGTCGCGCGACTCCTAGCCCGTCGCGCCTTACCTAGCCTGTCGCGCCTTTCCTAGCCCGTCACGCCTTTCCTAGCCCGTCGCGCTTCCTAGTCCGTCGCGCCGGCCCCGCGACCGTCCCAGCCGGCCCCGCGCCCGTCCCCGCCGGCCCCGCGACCGTCCCAGCCGGCCCCGCGACCGTCCCAGCCGGCCCCGCGACCGTCCCAGCCGGCCCCGCGACCGTCCCAGCCAGGCCCGCGACCGTCCCAGCCGGCCCCGCGACCGTCCCAGCCGGCCCCGCGACCGTCCCAGCCGGCCCCGCGACCGTCCCAGCCGGCCCCGCGACCGTCCCAGCCGGCCCCGCGACCGTCCCAGCCGGCCCCGCGACCGTCCCAGCCGGCCCCGCGACCGTCCCAGCCGGCCCGGCGACCGTCCCAGCCGGCCCCGCGCCCATCCCAGCCGGCCCTGCGACCGTCCCAGCCGGCCCCGTGCCCCTCCCAGCCGGCCCTGCACCTGTTCCAGCCGGCCCCGCGACCGTCCCAGCCGGCCCCTCGTGCCCGTCCAGGCCGCCCCTGCACCCATCCCAGCCGGCCCCGCGCCTGTCCCAGCCGGCCCCGCGTCCGTTCCAGCCGGCCCCGCGCCCGTCCCTGCCGGTCCCGCGCCCGTCCGAGCCGGCTCCCGCGCTTGTCCCAGCCGGCCCCGCGTCGACTTCCGGCCCTTCCTCGCCGGCCCTACGACCGCCCGATCTGCACTCTCCGTGGTACGATTCTCCACCACCTTTCACCGCACTGTACCGCACTGCACCGCACCGCATCTCATTGCACTACGTTGCACCGCACTGCACCGCACAGCACCGCCCTGCACTGCCCTGCATCGCACTGCCTCGCTTTGCACTGCACTGCTCTGCACTGCACCGCATTGCACCGCACTGTACAGTCCTGCACTTCCCCTGATGGCGGCGGAGCTTCGCTTCGACGCTGAAGGCCAGCCTCTAGAGTTCGAGGCGTGGCTTGCCGACCTCCGGCGCCAACTCACTGGCCAGCGGCAGGATGGTGAACCGCATTTCGCACACCTTGACGGTACGCTCCCCTGCCCAGACCCCCCTGCTGTTCTGCCCGCTGACTCCGCACCCACTGAGCGCGAGTCTACTGCCGCCACACCCCGTGCGCGCTCTGTCTGGCTTTCTCGAGATGCTGTCGCTCAGCTTGCCATTAGTAATGCCCTTCCCCCGTCCGAGCGCCCCCGCTTTAGGTCCCTCACTACTGCCCAGGCTTACTTAGATGCTGTCATCAAGCGCTATTCCACCCCTCCAGCTGCCTCGGTGGGTCGCCTGATCCTCCCAATGCTCTTTCCTGACCTTGCGTCTTTCCCCACTGTCTCTGACCACGCTGCCCACCTGCGCTCGATAGATAAGAACTGGCGCGCTGCCTGCACTGACGCACAGCTTAGAGCCCACTAGCCGCCCATTACCTCTACCCTTTACCTGCTTGCCACCCGCCTCCCTGACCGCCTTGCTGTCGCCCGCGACCGCTTCCTTAGCATTCACCCCGCAGACCTCACCCTCACTGACTTTGTAGACACCCTGACTGTGATTGAGACCCGCCACCGCTCCATCGCCCAGGCGAGCGGTACCGTGCCGGTCCCCATCTTTCAGGGTTGTGCCCCCGCTCAGTGTACCTTCTCCGACGGCTCTGCCACTGTGGCTGAGACTGCTGCTGCAGCACAGTTTCGTTCGGGGAAGGGCCGCCGCCCCAAGGTTGGGCGCGGCGGAGGGGGCGGGGGTGCGGGAGGGGGTGGTGGTGGAGTCGGGTCGTCTGGTGCTGGAGCGGACGAGGGGACCCTGCCTAGTCCAGCTGAGCCGCCGCCCCTGCAGTCGCAGCCGCAGCAGCCGCCGCAGTCGGAGCAGCCGCAGCAGCCACTGCAGACGAGGCAGCCGAGTGTACTCCCGCCCGGGTGGCCCGGCTCTGGCGGTGGTCGGGCGCGTGGTGGTGTGCCGAATGGTGGTTCTGGAGGCGTGCGTTGTCAGTACCAGATCCAGACCGGTCCTCGCCGTGGCTTCGTTTGCGGTAAGATCGGTCACTCCACTCCCCGCTGTTTTCGTCGCCTGGACGACCTGTTTCGTCAGCGCTTCGGCCCGTCGCCAGACCTCCCGGACTGGCACAGTTTGCTTAGTCGTAAGATTCAGTTTTTTGACATGGACATGGATGCCATTGTTTCTGCTCTGCATGTGATGTATGCTGCAGGGCTGACGTTTCAAAAAAAGGCACTCTGATTTTGCCCCCCAAGAAAATTCCCGAGTCTGAAGGGCTATTTTTCGAAATTTCGCTACTCTGAAATCTCAGTGTCCAAAAGTCAACGAATCTGAAATACTCAGGGTTCAGAATGTCGACTCAGAGTCCTGCGCCCAAGTCGAAATCTTATATTTCCAGTGTTCACACCAGGCCCCATGACTGGTTTTAGGGTACCATGATTCATCAGCTTTTCGTCAAGAAAATTTACTTGGATTCATCAGAGTTTCCTAGCAAAAAATTGCCTTTTCATTAGGGCGTGTTAAAAAAAAACTGATTTGGCAACTAGGAGAGAGGATTTCAGTTTTTTTTTTAAGTTGCATTCGACTAAGAGTAAATTCCGCATTCTAATAACAGTCGTTTCTATTAGGCGAAATTCTCGACAGCTGCCCGTTTGGTCAACTGAAATTCTATAAAAATGTGACGGTCACGATCGATTGCGATCGTTTCGACGTTTTCTAACCATTCGATGGTTGCATGTGATAAACGTCCAAGATCGATCAACCGGGGCGCGATCCTCTCCCCTCCCCCTCAATTTTCGAACCCACCCCCCCCCCCCCCCTCTCCCCCTCCGTTTCCCTTCCCCCCTCCCCTCCGTTTTGCTTCCACGCCTCCCCTCCGTTTCGAACCCCCACCCCCCCTCCCCTCCGTTTCGTTCCCCCCTCCCTTCCCCCCCCCCCCCTCCCCTCCATTTCGCTTCACCCCTTCCCTCGGTTTCGATTCCCTCCCCCTTTCCCCCTCGAACTCGATCCCCCCTCCCCTCTTTTTCGAATTCTCCCCCTCAGGGCCTGTTCGTGCACGATACACCGTCACGACACTTTGTATCAAAATTGTGATTGACTGGCAAATTTGACTGCAAAATCAGCAATGACACGAAGTTGCCTGAAAGTGACGTGTTGGAAAACAACACTCCCTAAATTGAGCCGTGGACAGTGTGATTTTTTAGAGTTAGTTTCACCTCGTCTGAGAAATCAGAAAAACAAAATAAAAAAAATCGCCAGCCAGATGAATGATTTTCTTGTTACCCGTTTTAGGAACTTCACAAAAGTCGGGTAATAAGCAAGATTGCGGGTTGCGGGGGTTTGTGGGAGGATTTTTTTTATGGCTGCAAGGGACTTCGACAATTTTTCCGGGTTGCGGGAGCTAAGGGAGGGACATTTCTTGCTGTGGGGACTTAGCCGAAATTTCAGGGTCGCAAGAGGTGTGGGAGGGATGTGTCTGTCTGTGGGGACTTGGTCGAATTTCTGGGGCTGCGAGGCGAGTAGGGAAGAAATGTGCTGGGGGGAACTATCTCTGGCTGCTAGGACTTAGCCGGTTTTTTAGGTTGCGGGGCGGGGTGTGTGTGAAAGGACTTGACTCTGGCCCTTGAGGACTTAGACGAAATTTTTTCGTGAGGGTAGGGAGGTGCAGTACTAGTATGTGTGTCTCAGGGTCCGTACGCGCTGCGCTCTGAAAACTCAGTATCCGCAAACTGCGAAGTCTGAGATTCTCAGGATTCAAAAACATATAAGTCTGAAGGGTTCAGCATTCAGAAAATGGCAAGTCTGAAAAATCAGGATCGGCAAAAAAATAGGTCTGAAATTTCAGACAATCAGACTAAAATAGTCTGATAAAATCAGCCCTGGTATGCTGATGACTCTAGTGTGCTTCCCGCCTATTACCCACTGTCGGCTAGTGTAGGTGTGCCTAGCTTAGCCTCCCCTGCTGCGTCAGGCGTAGGATCCCCTGCTTTGTGTAGTCTTGGTGCTTCCGCCGTCGTTCCGTTGCCAGACGCCTCTGCTTCGCTTTCCTTCACCTTGGACTCTGGCGCTTCCCGGTGTTTCTTCCGCGACTCCACCACCCTGATGCCGCTTCCTGTTCCTGCTGCCGTTTCTCTTGCTGACCCCTCCGGCGGTCCGGTAGTCGCTCGCAGTTCCACCACCCTTCCCTGTCCGGCGGTTCCTTCGGGCACTCTCACAGGTCTGCATATCCCCTCGTTCTCCAGGAACCTAGTTGGTGTCAGCTGCCTCCAGGACCTTGGCGTCACTACTACGTTCCCTGGTCACGAGCGGTATGCTGTCTGTACCGAGGCCGCCACGGGTGCACCCCTGTCCACGTTCCCCCGGGACCCGGTGTCCGGCCTGTTCACTCTAGACACCGTGACCCCCCCGGCTGGAGCGCTCCCTCAGGTGGCTGCGTCTACCCCGGTTGCGGCTGCCTGCTCCTGTCGGTCCCTCACTCACCCGACTCTCCTTTGGCACCACCGCCTAGGTCACCCTGCGCTCCCGCGTCTGCGTCACATGTCCCAGCACGGTCTTGTCCTTGGTCTCCCAGGTTCTCTCCCCGCGTTTCCCTCTTCCCCAGCCCCACCTTGCACGCCTTGTGTCGAGGGTCGGCTTCGCCGTGCCCCTCACTCCTCCTCGTTTCCCCCTACCGCCGCGCCGCTGCAGATCCTGCACCTGGACGTCTGGGGCCCCGCCCCCGTCCCTGGGCAGCGTCGCGAGCGCTACTTCCTTGTGCTTGTCGACGACTTTACTCATTACACCACAGTCTTTCCCCTGGAGCGCAAGGCCGACGTGCCTGGCGCCCTCATCCCCTGGCTTGTCTCTGCGCGTGTCCACCGCAGTCTCCCTGTCTTGCGTCTTCACTCCGACCGTGGTGGCGAGTTTGCCTCAGGTGTCCTTGGTCGCTTTTGTCGTGCGGAGGGCATCACCCAGACGTTCACCCTACCGGACTCCCCACAGCAGAATGGGGTCGCTGAGCGACGCATCGGTTTGGTCATGGAGGTGGCTCACACCTCCATGATCCATGCCAGTGCACCCCATTTTATGTGGCCGTTCGCTGTGCGCTACGCTTCTCACTAGCTTAACTTGTGGCCGCACCCTCAGCAGCCGCAAGTTTCGCCGACCCGTCTGTGGACTGGGTCTCCTGGTGACGCGTCTGCGTTTCACGTCTGGGGCTGCCTTGCTCAAGTCCGTGCCTCCGGCACGGACAAGCTCACTGCCCGCACCCTTCCCTGCGTCTTCCTCGGTTTTCCCCTTGACGCGTCCGACTGGCACTTTTACCACCCGCCGTCTCACCGCTTCTTTCACTCTTGCGACGTCACATTTGACGAGTCCGTCTCTTACTACCGTCGCTTCCCCCACCGCGGTCCCCTGGTTACCCCCCCCCCTGTTCCTGGTCACTCCTTCCCCGGTAGTCCGTGCCCCTCCCCCTCCTCCTCCCCGTCCTGCCCCCTCTGGTGTGTCCCACGTCACCCCCCTCCCGTCGGTGGACCCGGTTGAGGAGTCTTCTGACTCTGGTGGCCCTGCTGCGCAGTCCTCGCCGGCCGCCCCTCCACCGGCGTCCCCTCCCCAGTCCCCTCCTCCACCGCCTCTGCTGCCGCTGCAGCCGTCGGTGTCGCTGCCGCCGTCGCAGCACCCGTTTGCTGACTCTGGGGGTGCTGGTGTGGAGTGTGCCGGTGGTAGCCGAGGAGCAACTTGCAGTCCCGGTGTAGACGTTGTGCCGCCGGAGTAGCAGTCCCCGCCGGTGTCCGCCCTTCGCCTGCTCGGCCTTCCGTCCCCTGACCCTGTGGCTGTTCCTCTCCGCCCGTTTCCTCCTCTTCCCGTCTACGGCCCTGTGTTCCCTCCGCCGGACTCGTCCCCGGCCCGTCTTCCCCCTCGTTCCCCTCCTGTGTCCCCTCCCCTGTCTCCTGACCCGACTCCTCCGTCGCACGTCTGGTCTCACCGTCCCTCCCGTGCTCGTCCTGCCTCCCCTGTCTTGCGCTCCCACCCTATGTTGCTTCGTTCCCACGCGTCTCGTCCTCCCCTTCTGCCGTCGCCTCCTCCGTCCTCCCTTGTTGTTGCACCCCCCCCGCTGTTTGACTACCTTCGCGCCGCTCGTCCTCTTGTTCCCCGGGTCCTTGCCTCTCTCGTTACCGACCCGTCTGTTCCGGTCTCGTGCCTTGACGCTCTTGTAGCTGCGGTCGCTGACTTCGCCTCTACCCGCCGCCTCGACTACGCCACCGCTCTGGTCTCTGACCCTGCCTGTCCTCCGTTTGTCGGGGGTGCTCCAACCCTTGGCAGTGACGTCCTGGAGGACCGCCAGTTCGAGCTTGCTTTCCTGTCCGAGGCTGCTCCCCATCTCTGTTCCATGCTGCTAGTCCCTGAGGGTGACCCAGACGCTTTCGACATCCCGACCCTTCGCACTTACGTTGAGGCAACCTCGGGACCTTGGGCCTCGCAGTGGATAGCTGCCATGGAGCAGGAGATGGCATCTTGGAGATCCACCGGCACCTTCGTCGACGCAGTTCCCCCGCCTGGGGTGAACGTAGTCGATGGCCGCTGGCTCTTCAAGGTGAAGCGCCCTCCTGGAGAGCCGCCTGTGTTCAAGGCACGCTACGTGGCTAGAGGTTTTAGTCAGCGTGAGGGGGTGGACTTCTTCCAGACCTTCGCTCCGACCCGGAAGATGACTACTCTTCGGGTGCTGCTACACGTAGCAGCTTAGCGTGACTACGAGCTTCACTCCCTGGACTTCTCCACTGCGTTTCTTCAGGGCAGTCTACACGAGCAGGTCTACATGTGCCGCCCTCAGAGCTTCACTGGTACCTTCCCTCCTGGGACCCAGTGGCTCCTGCGGCGCCCTGTCTACGGCTTGCGGCAGGCTCCCCGTGAGTGGCACGACACGCTGCGTGCTACGCTTGCTGACCTGCAGTTCTTTCCGTCCTCTGCTGACCCCTCGCTCTTCGTTCGTGCTGGCCAGACCCCGTTCTACATCGTTGTTTACATAGACGACCTAGTCTTCGCCACTGCAGACAGGGACGCACTGGCCTCCATGAAGGCAGAGTTGCTGAAGAGACACACTTGCACTGACCTTGGAGAACTGCGCCACTACCTTGGCTTGCAGATCTCCAGGGACAGAGCAGCGCGCACCATCACTTTGACTCAGTCACACTTGGTGCGCCAGGTCCTTCAGAGGTTCGGTCTTCAGTTCTCCTCCGCATAGCCCACTCCTCTGCCTCTAGACCACAGGCTCTCCGCTCCAGTTCCTGAGGAGTCAGCAGAGCCCAGTGGTCCTTACGCAGAGCTGGTGGGTTGCCTCATGTACCTGATGACTTGCACTCGCCCATATCTCGCATACCCTCTCAGCATCCTGGCTCGCTTTGTGGCCACAGGCAGACACCGACCGCAGCACTGGTCTGCCGCTAAGAGGGTTTTGCGTTATCTTGCTAGTACATCGGGCATGGGGTTAGTGCTAGGAGGACGCAGGTCAGTGGTCCTTACTGGACACACCGACGCTTCGTGGGCAGACGACGCCGAGACACTCAGGTCTACCCAGGGCTACTGCTTCAGCCTTGGCTCAGGTGCCGTCTCGTGGAGAGCTACCCGCTCCTCGTCTGTTGTCCAGTCCAGCTGTGAGGCCGAGATCTACGCTGGTGCCATGGCGGCACAGGAGCTCCGCTGGCTGACCTTCTTGCTCACTGACTTAGGTGAGCGGCCTAGCTCTGCCCCGGTCCTGTTCGCTGACAACAGGGCCATGATCCTCCTGTGTCAGGAGCCTCGACTCGAGGGCAGAGCGAAGCATATTCAGCTGCGATACTTCCTCCTGCGCGAGCTACAGCAGCGACGCCAGGCTCGCGTAGTACACTTGGCCTCAGGTGCCAACACAGCTGATATCTTTACGAAGGCGCTTGCGCCTAAAAATCATCAGCGGCACTGTGTACAGCTTGGTCTAGTCCCTGTAGCCTCTCACTTGCTAGGGCCTTGACTTTGTACTGCCCTTTATATGTATACTCAGACTGGACTTGTGTCCTCTCCCAGTGGCTGGACTAGTAGTGCCGCCCTGATCTTGTTCTTGCCTTGTCTGTACTCCTTCTGACTGGTCTTTTAGAACTTTGTCTCAGAGGTTGGACTAGTAGTGCCGCCCTGAGCTGCTTGTTCAGGACATTCCCCTATGCAGTCTAGGGGGTGTATCAAAGATGTGTATTAGTTATGTTTGCATAGACTGTATAGGGTCACCTCTTAGAGGGTACAATACTTTGGTATATCTATCTGTACTCTCCCACTAGTCATTATTCACTTCTCTCACTTTGATAGTGCCGCCCTGGTCTTGTTGTTGCCTTGTCTCAACTCCGTCTGACTGGTCTTTTAGACCCTTGTCTCAGAGGTTGGATTAGTAGTGCCGCCCTGAGCTGCTTGTTCAGGTCATTCCCTTATGCAGTCTAGGGGGTGTGTCAAACATAAGCATAACTCATGTTTGTATAGACTGTATAGGGTCGCTTCTTAGAGGGTACAACACTCTTAGGTATATACCCTTGTACTCTCTCTCTATTCATCAATTCTTCAGTTCTAAGAGTTAGTTACCGTAGTTAACGAGGCGACTATAAAGTGTTATTGCAGCAGAACTTTGCAGCAGGCTTCGCCCAGTGAGACACACAGCCAGTGCTCCATCGCTCCATATTGCACTGATTACAGACATTGTACCGTATTTTTTAAGCACATGTAATTTTTTGAAAGCGTGTAACACTTTCTAAAAAATGTGTATTGTGAAAGTGTAGCGAGGGCCAACGCAGCAAGGTCAGCGTCGAAGCGCTACTCACCCTCTTTTGCCTACAAAAGAGGGACGTGAGGCCATTCGACCTCACCCACGTTCTTTATTTCTAGTTCCAGTTTCGTTTTCCAGTTCTCGTTCTAGCTCTAGTCTCCTTATTCTCGCCCAAGCTGGCGAAAACCCAGTCTCTTCCGCGCTTCAAAGCTCCGACAACGCTCCTCACCGACATTCTGCAGCACAATATTACCGCGATGACTTCCGCCAATTCTGCCCAAGCGCTCGGAACTTCGCCCGGGGGAACCGACCGACGTCAGAAACGTCCTGCTGAGGACAATTTTGGCGAGGGCCCCTCGGCAGTCGAGATTCTGCTCGGCGGCAGTCACGCTGCTCCGGAAGAAGCAGCCGCGCGTGCAGGCAACGGAAGTCCACGCACCAGCCCGAGGCGCGTCGCCTGCAGGCCAGGCGGGCCCCACCACCCAGCACGCGCCTGCCGCCGACCCCGCGCCAACCGCCATCGCCCCCGCCTTGACTGCGCACCAGCTGCAAGCGCTTTTGGCGCTGTTACAGCAGCAAGCTCCTGCTGTTACAGTCGGAACCTCATCCGATAACGCTGCACCTACGACCAATTTTAACAAAAAGAAAGAAATGGCTACCCATCCTCGCACGCCCAAGGCTCCCCGCGCCGACGACCAGCCCCCGGCACCAACTCCCGCACCCGCTGACAACCCCGATGACAGCGACGACTCCGAAAATGACGATGGTGAGGGTCCCGCCAACATTGCCCGTCGTCGCATCCTCGCACCCGCCCCCCCCCTTCCCCCCCTTGGCCCCACGCCCGCTGCTACTACCTTCATGCGCAAGGGCGTACGCGACCAGGCCGAGGTCTTCACTGCCATCGAAGCGTACCTGAAGCATATCAACTTCAAGCTGCAGCACGGCGACGTCGTCGGCGCACTCAGCAACGTAAAGGATATCGAAATACTTATTAATAAGCGTTTCCAAGTCCTTCTCGTTGCGGACGAAGCCGGTTTCGAGGCCGCCGACCGGTTCCAGCTCTACCAGTCCAAAAGTGTCCTGACATCCCGCTCCTACAAGCTGGCGGTCGCGGATGTGACAGCGCTCAAGCGTGCACGCCTCGGCTATACGCGCGGCGGCCGTCCCGGTGGTCGTGACACGGACTCGGACATCAAGGGCTCCCCCCCTGCTACGTGCCAGCAGCCACGCTTCAAGGGAGTCTGCTTTCGCTGTGGCCGACCAGGCCACATGGCCAATGCATGCCACATGGGAGGGCGTGGTGCGCAAGGTCCCTCACCGGTGGTGTGAGCGGTTGATAGGGCGGCGCCCTTTCCCACATGCAAGAGGCATAGTGGGTTGCACGGTAGGTGCATGGCCGGTGGCCAGCCTTTTGCCAAAGGCAAGGAGTCTTCGCTGACTAGGGTGGCCCTTGGGGACAGCAAAGGCTGATAGGCCTAGGCTTGTAATAATTCCTATGATTGAATTAAAGGCTCGACCGTGTCACGGCCATCCGTTTTTTTTCAAAAAAAAAAAAAAAAAAAAAAAAAAAAAAACCCTTGAGGGGGTTGGGGGCAGGGAGGGGGCTACAAAACCCAGTCAACATGGCTGGTCAGCCTTGAGCATGGCCTCCGACCCCTCACTTTTTTCTTTGCCGACCACGCAACACGCCCCGAGAGCTAACCTTGGAGGCACGCTCGGCACCCAACAAAATGGTGCGCACGCACGCACTCGGAAACGCACTATTTAAGAGCCAAGGACAGAGTCTAGGAGCTCAAAGCTAACACAAAGAGTGGCCCAAACAAGGAGAGCAAAAGAAGGAGGAGGAAGAAATGTAAGCCAACCACCAACGAGCACCAACGCGCTTAAAAAATGTTCACGTACGAACACAGCACGTGAGGTCTTCGCACGCAAAGGAAAGAGGGAAAGAGGGAGATCAAGAGATGGAGAGAGAGAGAGAAATAGCAAGCGAGAGAGAGAAAAAGAGAGAGAGAGAGGGAGAGAGAGAGAGAGAGAGAGAGAGAGAGAGAGAGAGAGAGAGAGAGAGAGAGAGAGAGAGAGAGGGAGAGAGAGAGAGAGAGAGAGAGAGAGAGAGAGAGAGAGAGAGAGAGAGAGAGAGAGAGAGACAGGGAGAGAGAGGGAGTCAAAGAAAGTGAGAGAGAGCAAGAGCAAGGGAGAGAGAGAGAGAGAGAGAGAGAGAGAGAGAGAGAGAGAGAGAGAGAGAGTGAGAGAGAGAGAGAGAGAAAGAGGGAGTGAGTGAGAGAGAGAGGGGGAGAGAGAGAGAGAGAAAGAGGGAGGAGAGAGAGAGAGAGAGAGAGACAGAGGGAAAGAGATAGAGAGAGAGAGAGAGAGAGAGCGACAGAGAAAGAGAAGGCGGATAGAGAGACGAGTACCCCTTGCACCTTGCAAGCACCTAACACGGCAGTGGCCGTGCGGTCCGAGCATGTCATGCCCCGTCTACACTTGCCCCGCATCGTGCACCTGCTCACGAGCACAGTATCTTACTCCCATCTATGAACCCATGTTTATAACCTCGTATAATGCAGAGATCCCAAGTGGGTGGCCACGAGAGGAATGCGATCCCTACGAGCTCGCAACTACAGACAGGGACATGACCATCATGCGCAGTCGACTGCGGCATGCCTTGCACTGGTGGTGCTCCTGGTGTGACAGTAGCTTTATCCTCTCCGTCATCGCTAAAGGGTATTGGCTGCCCTGGAAGAATACAGCCCCCACACCCTTCGAGGACAACAACCATGCCGGAGTCTGCACGCACCTCGACTTTACTCGCGCCACAATTCGCGATCTTGTAGTGACCGGCGCTGCTGCAGTGATCGAGAAGAGAGACACACTAACATGTGTCAGCCCACTAAACGTCGTGAAGCAACGCGACAAATGCCGCCTCATCCTTGACCTGCGGAAAGTGAACACCCACCTTGAAGCCCCCAAGTTCAAGTACGAGGGTTTGAATCGTGTAGCCGAGCTCATCCGCCGAGATGACTGGATGTTTTCCATCGACCTGAAATCTGGATACCATCATGTCGAGATTCACCCTTCGTGTTGGCAGTTTTTGGGCTTCCAGTTCGAAGGCATCAACTACTCCTTTCGGTCACTGCCGTTCGGCCTTGCAACTGCTCCATTCGTTTTCACCCAACTAATTAAACAACTTGCCAAGCGATGGCGGGCAAGCGGCGTTCGAGTGGTCCCGTATGTCGACGACCTATTATTTCTCTGCGATTCCCACCAGCAAGCGTGCTCGACTCGTACGACAGTCCTCCAGGACCTTAACGCAGCTGGCTTCGTCATTAATGGCAAAAAATCGCACCTCCACCCCTCGCGTCAGCTTCGCTTCCTCGGATTGGAAATCGACTCCACCCGCGGCACGTTCTCCGTCGGACTCGAGCGAAGGGCTCAACTCTTAACCACACTTGAGGCCTTGATAACCCAAGGACAATCAGGAAGGCATATTCCCGTTCGATCCCTCGCAAGAGTTACAGGCATGCTCGCCTCTATGGCCCTAGCACTGGGCGCGACGGCACGAGCATTCAGCCACGAACTCCTGCGACTTAGTGCCGACGCAACGTCCTGGCACTCCAAGGTCCTCCTGCACCCGGCAGCGGTGGACGAGCTCTGTTTCTGGCTGGCGCAATTCGACAAATTTAACGGCGCCCCATTTCATCTCAGTCACCAGTTCGACGCCGTCATCCACGTGGATGCAAGCGCCCACAGTTGGGGCGCCATCCTCACGCCGCTCCCTGGGATCCCAATAGAAGCAAGCTCCCGCATGCCACAAGACCTCCTACACACTTCCAGCATCCGAAGGGAACTCGAAGGTGTACTGTGGGCACTAAGAACCTTTGACACCCACATCTCCAAACGGCACGTGTTAGTTCGTGTGGACAACCAGGGGGTTGTATTCATACTGCGCAAAGTCGGCTCCAGCATCCCTGCACTCACACTACTTTGCCAGGCGATCATCGACCTTTGCTTAAAAAACCGGACACGCCTTGCCATCGAATGGATTCCTCGGGAGCTGAACGCGCACGCCGACGAACTCTCCAAAGTCCAGGACCGAGATGATTACTCACTCAAATCCCCATGGTTCCGACTCCTCGACCGCCGCCTGGGGCCTCACTCTGTCGACCTATTCGCGAATGTTCACAACGCTCAACTGGGGCGCTTCTGCTCCAAGATTCCTCACCCCAAGGCCACAGCAGTTGACGCCTTCTCGTTCAGCTGGCATGATGAACGCGGCTTCGCGTTTCCCCCCCCCCACCTCATCCCGGCTACTCTGCGCCACGCCCAACGCACCCATGCCGAGTTGACGTTGGTCATTCCCGAGTGGCCAGGAGCCTCTTGGTGGCCCCTACTGCAGCCAGCACCACGAACCTGGGCACGAGAAGTAAAGGCACATATTCCCCTCACTCAAGGCAGCCAATGCCTATCCCCAGGCACACACTCACTCGCCTTTGCTGGTCTCGGTTTTCCCAATAGCCCGATCATTGCGTTGCATGTGACATATAAAATATAACCCCACCGTGCCTGGGCTCTCTGTATTTCAGGCTGATTATCAAAACTACAGACACAGCTACTTCGGGTAATCAGTCATGTCCGCGCGCCATCCACCATAAGGACCTACGAGCCGTATTGGCTCAAGTTCCGCTCCTTTTGCACGAAGGTCAAGCTGAGCTACCTGCCTGCCACAGACACCACTCTAGCGCTCTACCTTGTCTATGCCCTCAACAATCAGGCCACAGTATCCGCCATATCCCTTACGTGCTCCGCCGTCGCATTTGCACATCGGATGACCGGAGAACCCTCTCCCACTAGCGGGCCTTTCACTTCACAAGTTCGTGAATTCTCCAAGCGCCACGGCCCGTGCACCACCAGGACGAAGGAACCCTTGTCGCTCCACCAGGTGCACGCCATGGCACACCCCTTTCTTGAGTCGAGCAGCCCGGCAGAATATCAGAAAGGACTGATCCCACTCCTCATGTTCGCGGCATTCCTCCGCTACTACGACCTCGTCTCCATCCAGTGGAACGACATCCACTTCGACGAGGAGTCTATGTGGATCCTAATCCCGCACTCCAAGACGGATCAAGACGGCAAGGGCTCATGGATCTCAGTTGCTCCCACAACTGGGCCTTACTGCCCAGTCCGCTGCACCCAGCGGTTTCTGCAACTCGCGGGACACCCTACCACCCCGCATGGACCACTGATCCGTGTCTTTGGCACCAGCGGCAGGGCAACCCCTCACGACAGCGCTCCGTCATACACAACCATCCGCAACTGGTGCCTCGAAGCCTTCGCCAAGGCTGGGCTTGACAACAGACACCTCGGCACTCACTCCTTCCGCAAGGGCGCCGCAACTGCGGCAGCTAACTTGGGGATCCCTGACCTGCTCTTCAAGCGACTCGGTCGCTGGCGCAGCGATACGGCCAAAGATCTCTACGTCACCATTGCGCAGGACCAGCTCCTTGCGGCATCCACACGCATCCAAGACGCGTCCGCCGCTCCATCGCCCAGACATCACCAGCTCTCCATCGAGCGACACCGCACCGCCAGCCCCTTCTTCACATGCCTCAGAAGACCCATATGAAATGAAGCACGCTGCCTTTGCCAAGGTGACCCAAGCAAGCTTTCACAATATGTAATTTTTTGAAAGCGTGTAACACTTTCTAAAAAATGTGTATTGTGAAAGTGTAGCGAGGGCCAACGCAGCAAGGTCAGCGTCGAAGCGCTACTCACCCTCTTTTGCCTACAAAAGAGGGACGTGAGGCCATTCGACCTCACCCACGTTCTTCATTTCTAGTTCCAGTTTCGTTTTCCCCACCTACCCACCCTATTGGACGGTGTAGTCTATTGGACGAGAAGCATGTACTGTAGCCCATATGAAATGAAGCACGCTGCCTTTGCTATTAGTGCAATGTAAGCTGCTGTGGTGCTCTTGTTGGATTCGAACCAAACATACAGTTCAATACTTGATTGGTATCAAACTTGTTGGACAATTTCATTGGCAAATGGGCGATTATATGAGGCGTCTGATCACTGTGCTAGAGAGGAGACATACCGTGTATCTTCCTTGCCTGTGGGTTTGCCATGTTATCGGTTGCCACCGGTGCAGTGTGCTGAGGATTCCAAGTTCCAACCATGGCAATGCTGAGCTACAGAAGATACTCTGGCACAGAGCACGCAACTGAATCACAGCAAAATGTTAATATCACACGGTATCTGTAAATAATGCACCTCATGACACAGAGCACGCAACTGAATCACAGCAAGCAATGGGAGTCAGAAAATAAGAAAACGAAAAAAAAAAAGTAAAAAGCTTGCCTACTCTGGCCTCATTTCCCAAGATAATAGAAAACGCATCATCCTACCCAACTGTTGCTACCCATATCCCAGTCTCTCCATACAGGCTGAACCAATCATTACTGCTGCCACTGGTGCCGTTGTTGCTGCGGCTGTTGCTGTATATAGCTACCAGTACTCTTGAGCTGAGTCAGCAGGAACGGAAGGATGAACGGATGCCACTAGGCTGACAACAGCTCCTTGCAGAGTGTGGTACTGGTATGGTATGTATGGATGTGTGCACCTGCATGGCCCCCGTATTCAGCCTGCCCTGCTTACTGTCCGCCCGACAGCAGGGGATGGCTCAGTCAAAGGGCTGTATTACATCTGTGTACATACGAAGGAAAGTGGAAGAAATGGCAGAAGGAATGGCTGTCGAGAAGTGCTACACGGGTTGTTGGTACTCAACAATAGGATAGAGAAGGGACCCGTGGAAGGTTGGATGATGGGTGGGTGGATGGGAGGGGGGGAGGGTGGATGGACGGGCGAGTGAGCGAAGGATGGCCATTGACCGCGGACGGCGGAGTTGGTGTGCGGAAGGGTAGAATGAATGGAGATCTTTGTGCAGTTGTGGCGGCGGCGACAGCAGCAGTGGTGGTGGCGATGGTGATGGCGGGGGTGGTGGAGGTGGCGTTGGGGGTGGTGATGGTGGTGGGGTTGCCGTTGGGGGTGGTGGGGTTGGCGAGGGGGGTGAAGTGAAGAGGGTGAGCCACTGGAAAAGGTAGGCCACGTGTGACGTGATGGAAGGAAGCAGTCGGCTGGTGCTCTAGCCGCTGGGGTTGCATGGCTCTAGACAACGCGCATGGGGGAGGGCGGTCACGTGTGGGAGGGCGGGTGAGAGGTCGGGGGAGAGGGCGCGTGAGAGTGAGAGATACTCGGTACTGCGTTACTGCGTTGCTCCGTTACTGCATAACCGCGTTACTGCGACAGCATGTCGTACAGCATGAGCGTAATCCCAAACTGCGGACTCATGCGCAGCACGCGGGCAATCCCGCCCTTAAACAGCGCGCCGAGCCCCTCCTCCTCCACAATCTCCTTCACGCAAACCCACGCGTTCGCATACGCCTCCTTTCCTTCCTCCGGCTCCATTTGCATCCGAGTTTTAACCACATCCATCGGCGTCACGAGATACGCGGCGGGGACCGCGGCCAGGCACCCGTCGACGAACGTCTGGTCCGGCATGACTTGCTTCAGCGCCGCGTAGCACGCGAAGAAGAGCGCGGTGGACGGCACGTCGCGCGCGAGAGTCACGCTAGAGCCGCTGTACAGCCCGCGAATTCCCAACTCCTGAACCACCTGCCACGACGTCTTCCCCCCCTGCTGCTGCTGCTGCTGCTTCCCCCCCTCCGCTGCTACCGCTCCGCTCGCTCCGCCGGCTAACGAGACCGCGCCTTCCGCTTCCGAATCGCTGGACGACGCGCTTCCGCCACCCGCCGTCGTCGTCTTTTTCCGCGCCTGCATGCGAACTTTGACGATTTCCACGGGGTTCGTGAACACCACCTGGCAGAATCCGCCTCCGCCGCCAGCGATAATCTCGAGAACCCACAGACGCGCGCCAGGGATCGTCGACTCGAGCAGCGTCAGTAGCACCTCGTTCACAGTAAGCTTAATCGCCTTCTCCGGCGCGATTCCGACGAGCTGCGCGCCGAGCCCGGAGTAGAGCGCGCCGGGGCCCTCCTCGCGCACCATGCGGAGGAAGCAGTCCCACTCGTCGCGGTACTGCGCCTGCGCTTGCGCTTGCGCAGACTCCGCTCCCGATCCGGATGCGGATCGCATTTGTTGGCCGCTTGCGCCGGTCAGATCCGCCGCCGAGTCTCTATCTCCTACGCCCCCGGACTCCCCCTCGTCGTCCGAATCTTTGACCTTGCGCTGCGCCTGCATCCGCGTTTTGATAGTGTCGAGCGGGTACACGGCCGCCGCGCCCACCGCGCCCGCCACTCCGCCCACGCCGAAGTGCTGTACCGACTGGCCCATGATCGCCGCGAGCTTCGCGGAGAGACCTGGCGGGGGGGGGGTTTGAGGGGGTGGGGAACGCAGGACGCGGAAGGGGAAAGGAGAATGAGTGACGGCTGGAGGGGAATAGGAGCAACTGGAGGAGACGCGAAGGCGGTGGCGTCAAAAGACATAAACAGCGCTAACGGCGCAAGCGGCGAGGAGGGAGACAAGCAAAAATGCAAGCAGCCAGGATGCGAGGGGGAGAAGGAGACAAGGAAGTGATCCTTACCTCCAGAGGACCCCGCTATGGCAGCAGCGGCGGCGCTTTCCAGAGTCAGACTCGCCGCCGCGGCTCCCGCGAACGACACCTCCGTCGCCGCGATCGGGCCGCCCGTCACAACTCCGCCCATGGCGGTGGAAGCCGCCGCCGCGCCTCCCCCCACCGGGCCCACATACACCGCGGGCTCCGCCACGATTGACCCGCTGCTGTTGCGCATTCCGCTTCCGCTGCCGTCGCCGGCGCCGCCGGATCCGCTGAAGCTTCCGCCGGGCGACAGGGATAGCGGCACCATGACGTCAGCAGGGAAGTCCGCAGCGCAGTCGGCCCAAGTCACGGAACGCGAGCGACCCGAGGAGGCCGATTGGGGGGCTGGGATCCCCTGCTTGACGGGCGACAGAACCGCGTCGCACATCCGCTCCTCCTCCTTCCTCAGCCTATCCTGCTCCTCCAGCTGCCGCACCAGGAGCGCCTTCGCCTCCTCCTGCGCCTCGGGCGAGACCACTCTGACAGAAGATCCGGATGAGGTCAGAGACATCTGGCGCGTTAAAGACGCCGGGGTGGGGGATGCTGACGTGGCAGGTGCGGGAGCGGGAGGGATAGACTCCAGTTGAGAGATGAAATCGTCAACGAAAAGAGCTGATTTCATTGCGCCACTGGTCGTCGAAACCGCAACCTGATCTGATGACGGGGGAACCGGCGGGGGGAGTTGATCCAGCGCGAGCGCGCCGCCTGGCTCGCAGCAGCCAGCGGATAGCGCGAACGCGGTGGACACCGCGACGGTGGCGGAGGCCTTTCTCAGGTCGGAAAGAACCTGCGCGCTCCGCAGTTTAAGCGGAGATCCTCTCGCGCTGCCGCTTAACGTCGCGGATCTGTCGCCGCTGCTGTCGCTGCTGCTGCAGGTGCTCCCCTTGCCATTCACATCCGCCACCCACGCGTCGTAGAACGACTGAGACCCGGCGGAAGGTTGCGCGGGTTGAGCCGCCGCTTGAGAAGCTTGAGAGGCCTGGGGAAGGATGGCGCGCGCGTGCGCAGAGAGTAACGCTGGCGCAGGCGCGGCGGAGGTGATACGCGGAAGGGACGTGTGGTGGAGGGAGTGGAGGGGCGAGGGGAATAGCGACATCCCGGCATTGTGTGAGGCGGCGGAGAAGGCTTGCGATGGTGATGACGCGTGGCGCAGAGTAGAAATGGTGGCGGAAGGTAGTAGTCGGCCTGACGGGTTGGACGAGGCGGATGGCGGACCGCCGGCAGATGCGGCGTCGGTTAAGATACTGGCGGGTATGAGATTAAGAACAAGACTCGAGTGCGAGAGAGCCATGGCTGCTAGTGAGCGGGATTCCCGGAGAGGAGGGGCTTAACTAGAGGGATCTGGTGGAGCGGAGCGGGTTGCTGGAGATGGGAGGAGAGCCGGAAGAGGATGGACCTTTGACTGACAATGAAAACCTGGGTGGACGAAATCTCGAGAAGCTTATAGGCTTAAAAAAAAAGTACTAACCCACCAGAAAGCACGACAGGACCTCTGGCTGAGCGAGGCCACAAGACGCAGCGTGCAATAGTCGGCGAGGGTTCAGCTGAGATAGCTGAGGTGAGATTATCGGTCAGCGAAGCACCTTGTCAGATAAAGCAGCAGCCGATGAAAAGGCGCTCTTTCTAGATTCGGGCTGGGCTTGATGCCAAGAGGTGAGATGGGTGGTGGTTGGTACGCTGGAGTGCGAGGCACAACGAAGTTCTGGCTTAGATCCCCTCAGGCGCGGGAAAACGAGGGAAATGGCGGGATGAGGTAAGCGAAAAGGGACAAGTCTGGGGAAAAAGGAGGTAGCGCAAGTTAGGAAGGAACTTGATTGGGAATGGAGGGCGGCTGTCGCAAAGTAGTCGCGTGCGACGGCGTGAGGGAGCGGTGACCTGGGAGACCCACTCTGGTGGAAGATTTGTATCGCACGACGTTTCGAGCGACGGAATTGGCACGGACTTCCAGGTCGAAATTGCGAGATTACAAGTCAGAGTGGTGTTGACGAGCAAATGTGCTGGCTTGGACCAATGACGTTTCAGAAAATTATGTAAATGGTGGTTGACGCGGAATTGACAAACTGGGTCGGCGAAACGTTGCGACCAGGCGGGAGAGATGTAGGCGACGCGCCGCTGTAGCGCTTCGCCAATCGGAACCAGATGTTTGAATTCCGCGAGCATGGGATTCGCAACGCAAGATCAAGAGCTAGCGACGGCAGCTGACGGTCACGTTGCGCGGCGAATTACGAATTTGACGGGCAGCCTGGAAGTGAACCTCCTGTGGCGGGTTTGGGCAAAGGGGGCCGCGCTGGTTCGTGGGCAGCTAAGTGAAGGAATTGCTGCCACATTCAGCGACTCGATCTCGCTTTTGCTGATGCAAGGAGGGTCACACACAGCCCCCGTCGTCGCAGAGAGATTGCGCGATCAGCGCCCCAGGAGGGGGCAAAGGGCTTACGAAATTACAGGCGATGGAGGGCAGGCGATGAAGACGTGGGAGTCGCGTCATAATCGCCGCAATCAAGGGAACCTCTGTTTCAGCTTGCCTTTCCCTTTGCTGCCCCAAAACGGGATGCCCTCCACAATAATAGGCAAAGTGCACATCCACGGGAATAAGCGCGCCGGTGCCACGCTGTATCCGCTCACATGCTTCACACGTCTCAGCCTCCCAAGATCTTTCCGCGAGATGCGGTTGTCACCCATACTCCAACAGGAAGACGCTTGATTGGTTTGGAGGTGTTGACGAACCGATCCACGACTGACATGACATCATGTGGTATCTTGTGGCAGCAAAATATTTCCCGCCAATTCTTACAAAATGCCAACGTGTCCCTGTCTCAATATTGAAACCACGTGGCAAAACAGTTTGCAGGTCAAGGGCATGGTGTCAGAGACACGCTCGATGCTTGCATCTCCGCGGCTCCTTTATCAGCAATTTCAGTGATTGCAAGACTTCCGCTAAACACATGATCCGTTTTTTTCTCTAGTGTCAACATCAATTACATTCAGAGTAAATTATGACCCGAGGTTGACCCGCTGCCGAAGGAGCAGCGGGGTTTAGAGGCTCAACCTTGGGTCTAGTGACTTAGACGGTCGTGCACCTACAGAGGTGCAGAAAGTAACAAAACGAGTTGATTATGTACAGAAAACCGCACAGAGTTGTCGCAAAAGCGAATTGCGAGGTGTACATTGGCGGGCGATGCATTTGCGCCACTTCTAGTCTGGTAGGTTTGTCTGCTAATGGTGTGTTTCCAGTCAAGCAGTCTTCAGGAGTCGTAAGACCCAAGGCATTTCTTTTTTTAACCTCAGGTATTCCTGTTGTTGGAAACATCTCAAAAGACTTAAGCGTTTCTGAAGTATAACACTGTACTCGAGGAAGATTACAGGGGAGCACGCGAGTCAACGGAGGTTGCACGAGGGGGCGGACAAAGAGTGCGAAAAGACTCCAAAGGTCGCAATTGGAGGTTACGACTGACCGTTACAACATCACGGATGGTAACCGAAGCGGCAATCGAGTCGCTGTGCGACTCGATAAACCGTTCCTGTAACTGTATTCTACAACTGCTTTCTTATCTTCTATATATTGCTGCATGCTTGTTTCTTTCGTCAACCACTTGTTCTCATATACTAGTACAAGGGTTCAACTGCCTCAACTTCCGCTGCACTACTTAAAGTCTCATTTTACAACTGGGACTTAGTCTCTGAAAAGATCCTAAGGGCTTTTATCAGCCCAACATGGTATGAGAGCTGGTCAGAGACCAAACTCCCAGCAACTGCACTCCATCAACCTGCAACTCAACTCAATTCAACGACTTCATTGATCACAAGACATGGACAGCAAGGGCAAGAAAGTCTCTACGTGCTCACTCAGCGGCCAAGAAACTCAACACGGCAACTCTGGTCTGCACACCTCAGGACTGCAGACAGAGACCGGGACTGCTCAAGAAACAACGGAAAGAGTACCAGAGATGGTGACTCCATCTCCCTCTTCAAGCGTGGACCCCAACCTCATGGAAAGGTTCTTCAGCTTCATGTCGCACTTCGACCAGCAGCAGCAGACAAGGACACCTGCGCATTCAACACAGAGCAATGGAGGAAACATGGGATTAGCGCCGATCAGCCTCGACAACTCATCGTTTGGGCGACACAATCAAGCGCCTACCTTTGCGCCTTATCACTCTTCACCGGGGACGTTCGAGTTCATGCCGCCCCGTGCCCAACCAACAGTAGCTGCATCACAACAAACACCAAACGAGATTTTAAGTCTCCAGGCGCAGTTCTCACACGTGATTAAACTGCAGACATCATCACCATTCAACGGACACGATTTCTTTACCTGGAGTTTTGAGTTCGAGCTGCTGATGGAGGCTGCGCATCTCCTGGGATACTTCAATGGGTCCCTGCCATTCCCAAGCAACGGCACTGCAAAGGAGCAAGAAATATTTACTTATCAGTTGCTGCTGGCGTACACAGTTCTCCTGCGGAACCAGTCACCACAAGAACAGTAGAGCATCAGAACATATCGGAGCTATGGAAACTCCGCGGAACTCGCATGGCATCATCTCAAGTGTCTCTATCAAGCAAACGACAGCGTGACACAAAGCAGACTCATGCAACAACTGACAACAATACAGATGAAGACAGGGGAAAAGGCGAGCAGTATATGAGTCGCTGCCAGACCCTCCGCGACCGCCTGCTTCGGTGCGGAGGAACAATCACTGAGGAAAGCTTCGTGACGCTTGTCCTCGCCGGGCTCGGGCCAGAATGGAGAACCACACGATCGCTTCTTCGCGCCCACGGAAGGATTTCGGAGATGCACCTCTGCGCCGAGCTTCACGCTGAACAACAAGAGATGGACCTGTTCGAAGAAAGACAACCAAGGAAGCAGCAGCAGTTAGTCTTCTACACTCAACGAAGAAACGACAACACCTACAATCGACGGGGCAAGCAAGAACGTGACAACAGGGGATTTACCTTCGTGCCGCCGTTCTGCCACAACTGCCAGACTTCCGGGCACTCCAAGGTCAACTGCAACCGCCCTCGCGTTTACCGTCCAGCAGACCCACAAGTCGCTTCCACTCAAGCAAGTCCCCCAAGACGCTCTTCAACATCTGCACAACAGACACCAAATATTATCAATTGCATGGTACACATCGACAACTGCGCACCCGGATCACCACCCACTTGCGCGCCAGACGAAGAAGAGCCCCCGCCACCGCGCTCACAAGGCCTTCAAGTCAATCCAACATATGCTGCGGTCGCCAATGCCGAACCCACCGGGCGAAACACCTGGTTCTTGGACAGCTGCTGCGGGCAACACATGTGCTCTTCGGGACGATTCGTGCAACAGGAGAAACGCCTCAACCGCGACGTCGTCATCACCGTCGCCGACAACGAAAATCTGAAGACAAACAGACAAGGCGTGGTTCAGTTACAATCCATGGAGACAAACGTCATACTTCAGCTCAACAAAGTCCTCATTGTCGACAACCTGGGATACAACCTACTAAGCGTAAGCCAACTAATGGCCAAGGGGATTCACCTGGAGTGCGACTCCTACTCCAACGAGTTTCGGCTATACCACGGGAAGGGTGGCCTCTTCATCGGTCGTGCCCTCCTGAAATCCGGCGTCTTCGTGTTGGACTTCGTCCCCGACCGCGGTACTGCCGACAGCGACGGCATCGTATCATTCGCCGCCTGGACACACCCGCCGGATCTTGATCCAGAATTCGACAGTGACGGCTTCAGGCACTCCAACACCATGCCTGCAGCAGAAAGAACACGAGCATTAGCAGTCATCAGACAAGAAAGACAAGTACCCGCGAGTATCCCAACCAAACCATCACCTGCAGTAACAGCAGCAGGACTCAGCCGAATCCCACCACCGGCGATCCGAGGACCGCCAACCGAAGCAGACCAACTTATGCCCATCACACAAAAAGTTTGTCGAAGTCCCGCCACAGTCGTCGCGTTCTTCTCCAACGCCGACATATACCACCGCTCGCCGGGTCATCGCGCTCCCGACGACATCTGGCACCAACGCCTCGGGCATCCTGCAAACAGCACGATACTACAAACAATCCAAGCAGAGGTGTTAGAACGCAACGCCCTCCTAACAACGAGCGGCCAAGAACTTCGACGACCACGAGCAGGGTGCTTCACGTGCCCCGAAGCAGATCTTCCCCATCAGCCTTTTCCATCTCATCACAACCCAAGCGCACCTACATACGCTCCGATGGAAAAAGTCTACAGCGATATTTTAAACATGCCTCGAGAAGACACCGAAGCCGACTTCAACTACGTCATCACGTTCATCGACGCAGCAACCAGATACGTCTGGCACTTCAATCTCAAGACGCGCGATCAAGCCTTCGACGCCTTCACAACATGGCTTCCCATCGCCGAACGAGAATCAGGAACCAAACTCAAGAGCTTCCAATCAGACGGTGCACTGGAATACCAGTCACAACGCTTCAGGACCTATCTGGCGGAAAGAGGAATCCGACGCCTGGTGTCTCTGCCCTATGCTCACCAGCAGCAAGGGGTCGCAGAACGCATGAACCGGACCTTGCAGACGACGATGCGAAAACTGCTTCTGGGGATGAAGCTGCCCACCACACTGTGGCCAGACGCGATGACACATGCAGTTCACCTGCACAACCTGCTGTCCTCGTCATCGCTTCCCAACAGCGCATCACCGCACCTGTTGTGGACAAGAAAAAGGGGCAGCACAAAATTACTCTGAGTTTTCGGCTGCATGCTACAGTACAGACCCCACACAGC